AGGGCTAGTAAGGTTTTGCGCGTTGTATCAAATTAAACCACATGCTCCACCGCTTGTGCAGGCCCCCGTCAATTCCTTTGAGTTTCGGTCTTGCGACTGTACTCCCCAGGCGAAGTGTTTCACGCGTTAGCTGGGCCCCTGATTCGTGTAGACCAAGGGCGAACACTCATCGTTTACGGCATAGACTACCAGGGTATCTAATCCTGTTCGCTCCCCATGCTTTTGCACCCCAGCGTCGGTAGAGACCCAGAGAGCTGCCTTTGCTTTTGGCCTTCCTTCGTAGATTTGCGGATTTCACCCCTACACACGAAATTCCACTCTCCTTTGTCTCACCCAAGTGAATTGGTTTCGAGAGCATTCCTCCAGTTTTTAGCGACTTTCACTTTCAACCCGATTCACCGCCTACGTGCCCTTTACGCCCAGTCATTCCGAAGAACACTTGCCCCCCCCATCTTACCGCGACTGCTGGCACGGATTTAGCCGGGGCTTCTTCCTCGAGTCCTGTCATGATCGTTCACTCAATGAAAGAGCTTTACAAGCGGCATTACCCTTCTTCACTCACGCGATATTGCTGGATTGGACTTTCACCCATTGTCCAAGATTCCCCACTGCTGCCCCCCGTGGGAGTTCGAGCCGTGTCTTAGTCCTAGTGTGGCTGATCATCCGAAAAGACCAGCTAAGTATCATTGGCTTGGTTAGCTTTTACCTTACCAACTACCTAATACCACGCAGGCTCATCAAACAGCGCTTTTTAGCTTTATTTAGGATTTGGCCCGAATTGTTCGGTAGATTCCCACGCGTTATGCACCCGTTCGCCATATTGTTCTCAACTCTTCTCACCTCCTGGGCGAGATAAGCTACCTTTAGCTAGGAGCCTCATTTCTTTCTGCATAGCTCCCTGAAAAAACAACGTTCCACTTGCATGTGTTAAGCATATAGCTAGCGTTCCTTCTGAGCCAGGATCAAACTCTTCTTTTGACTATGATTGGGTCCTGCAGTGGTAGAACCTCGTGAACCAGGCGTACTACTTCCCAACCTTCTGTGGACCTTTCTTCTCTTATGATTTTTGGTACTTTCTTGAGTTTAGTGATTGATATCAAAGAGAGTCTCAGTCTAGTAACTCAACTAATCTACTCGTAGAGTGCTAGTAGTCTAGTAGTAGCGTGCGTGGTAGTTAAGACTTCGCTCTTTCTTATCCGCTATGGAACCCCACTTGGAATGCAAATTAAGAATTCTTTTCGACCTTGCACCAAGCTAAGGAATCATAGCCGGGCCGGAACTCTTGATCTATCAATAAGAGGGTTTGAACTCAGTTAGCAGGGACTGATAGTCATCATTGAGGGTATGACCAATGAACTACTGCTGAGAGCGATAGACTGTCTGATTGAGAGAACATAACCGCATTGGATGAGTTCTCGTCACATCAGATCTTCTTTCTATGCAATTGGGCGATTTGGCTTTGTCAAAGCGAGGGATGGGGGAATACACAAGATCTTGATTAGTCTCAGCCGCTCTCCTTAGGGCAGAATCCGTTTGATATCCACCTGCTGCCACTAGATTAGATACTTGAGTTAGCTTTCATTTAGTAGCTTCATGCCACTCAAGCACACTCAAGTCTTTTGAATCAAAAGATTCATCCAGTTGGAAATTTCCACAACAGTATCTTTATATCACTAACAAAACCCGAGGCTGATACCTGAAAGGTCGAGTTCATGCCTAGAAGGCCCTATCTGTGCTACTAAAGCAGGTAAAGGAAATGAATGAAATCAGCTTCTTCAATTCGCATGTGGTAAGCCAAGCCCTTTTATCTTTTTTTTTTTAAGCTGCTTTTAGTTCTTCCTTTATTAAGATAAGGCAAATTCCCGAAGAATATGACATGGCCTTTCAGCCCTTCTTACTATGCTTTCCGTGGTAGCTAGGATAAGTCCTGGTGTTTTAGTTAGTTAGTAAAGGCTTTAGGAAAAGGCGTAACTGTTCTTGTCGGAAGGGCTGGGCTATAGATAAGATTTCGTTCTTTATTCCCCTGTAATATGTAATAGTAGTTCTAATCCATCTAGCAATAAAATCAGTTTTTTATTTCTCAAGCCTGTTTGAAAGCATGTGATAAAGCCTAAGCCATGTTAAGCTTCTTCTCCATTATCTGAGAAGGCTTACACTAAGGGGTAGATTTCTTTCCTTTCAAGCATTAAGAAAGTCAATTGCATATCCTTTTTTTATGGTGGTTACACTTGTAAGAAAGGCAAGCAAGAAAAAAGTATTTATGGCTGGCAACTGGAGGGAGACAGCACGAGGCAAAGCAAAGGGCAGAGCTTCGATAGTCCTAACAAGTCACTGAAAGCTCCTCTGGCGCACCCTAGCCGAGCGGTCCTCGCCTACACAAGAAAGCAGATTAGCTACCTCATTCTCTTATTGTGCAGGCGGGCCTGGGCGAGTGAGGTGTAGGGTTAGATTAGAGGGAGAAGGAGTCTCGAGCTTCATCCCATGAAGCGCCAGGGAACCATGCATTCCTCCCGAGCTGGGCTTTCGTGTGTCCGGAGTCCGATCAAATCAACTAGCGATCGGTTTATGGAACAAGGAGTTAAGCAAGGGCCAGGATATTTTTGGAAGAACCTGGGCAAAGTTAGTATCGTGTTCAACTCCGCGGGTTGGCTGGTTGGAAGGATTGCTTTCTGCCATCTGTCTTTCCTTTCTCTCTCTTCTCTTAGCAAAGAAAGTAGAAAAAAGTAAAACTTTTGGCTTGCTACAAGTTGGGCTCGGGTTTCTGGCTTGGAAAAAGCTTCCCCTTCAGTCGTCAGCTAGCTCGTTCTTGACAGATCCGAACGGGTGTTCATAATATGGAGTAAAAGGATTCGAACCTTTGCATGTCGGTACCAAAAACCGATGCCTTACCACTTGGCTATACTCCATATACGACCTGTTTTGGACGATAGAACGGGGGGAGGAGGAGGGGAAAGGGATTTCGAAGAAATTCGAGCCGTGCAAGGACGCGGGGATATAGCAAGTAAGTAGCATGATTCTCCCTTTAGGACCGACTACAACAAGCTCGCGACTCTAATAGAAACAAACAGTAAGCTCTCTGCTCTATTTGCTTGCAATGTTATGTCTATCAAAGTTGGCAAACGCTTCTTGTTCTCGTCCACCCCTTAATGCTTTGCAAGCACTAAGTAAGTAAACTACCTTTCTTTTTTTTTTTTTTTTTTTTCATAACCTAGACTAAAGAAGAAGCTCCTGAATCAGCAAGAGAATTGTCCTAACCTGCCACCGGTGACTTTTTCAGAGCTCCGCAGGAGAAGAAAGAAAGTCCGACTCCAATTTCTACAATTGCATTGCCTTACTCCCTGTTCTCTCTTAAAACTTTTTAAAGCTCGGCGAGAAAGAGTTGGTTAAGAACTATTGACTGTAACCCATAGCAGTTACAGTCAGGAGATGCTCGCCTTTGGAATTAAGATGGATGAAGAGGCACTTGAGCCTGGAAGTGATGAAATTCAGGGAAAACATGAAAGCGGTCACTATACTAGAGGAGGGCAAGACATGACCGCGACTTAAGATTCAAGTACCGTTAAAAAGACTAAAAGAACGAGATTTTTTCTCGATTTTTGTGCTAAAATTTTTTTTCCGTTAAAGATTTTAGGGGTCATGTTTTCTTTGAAGGATCCAAATTGAACTCGGATTTTGCAAAAAAAAGAACGTAGAAACCCCATTTTGTGAATTCGGATTTCCGTAGTTAAATTTGGAATTCACAAAACGGGGCTTTTACGTTTTTTTTTGTCAAACCTGAGCTCAATATGGTCTCTTTTGACCTAAAGTAACCCCTAAAACCTTTAATGAAACATTTTTTTAGCACGAAAATTGAGAAAAAAAATTAAACAGATGTAAAGTGGGCCCCACTAACTGCAACATATGACGGAGGGTTAACGAAAAGGTTACATCGTAGTCAATAAATGGACCTTCAAGTTAAAGCTTGAAATTTTTAAAAGGAGGGGACACAGCGTGGAAAAGTGAACACTTGAGGGTTACTGTATAAAATTTCTCAAATTATAAAAATAAAGTGAACAAAACATGATGCCCTGATAAGTTGTTGATACATTCATAGTCTTGTCCCCTAATCCTCTTTTTTAACGTTAAAATCATCTTATCATTAGAAGTTTAAGAATAAACTTTTAAATTGAGAGATATTCCAAATAAGCTCAAAAGAGGGAGAAATCTTTGATTGTCTACAAGATCACCCAATTGCAGTTGACTCAAAAAAGTACAAAATCAGGAAGAGATACAAATTAAATTTGGGAATGAATGGTCCAGCCAGCCCACATTCACACAATAAGGCTAAGCCATCAGGTTGAATTGTTGTGCTAGGCCTCGATCAAGTTCGATTTTTGGGTTTACATAGCAGCACCACTATATATCCCAATATTTACATATTACATTCATGAAAGACACAATGCTACTACTACGATGATGCAACTATTATGTCATTGATCCGATATTAGGATGTAAATTATGGTCACAATCAAGGGCAGAATCCTTTTACTACTTTCGTTTCATATTATTTGAATTTTCAAATATTTATATCTCACAAATAATACCCTACAATTGCAAATAATATGAAACGGAGGTAATATATAAAGATTGTTTCAGAGTATTCACTCTCACGTGATGGATGTTAGTACTCTCAATGTTTGTATATAATTGTCACTTAAAAAGTTTAGAATACACTATCTATTGGAAAAAAATTTAATAACATGTAGATGTGATATGTGGAAGATATCATAACAACAGTACTGCCACACTTGTATATGAGCTATTAACATAATGAAAAAGCATATCAATTCTAACAATAAAATCCGAGTAATTGTTTGCAATTTCGTTGGTTAATCCTTCCTGGTGATTAGATACCTTACAATGTGCTTAGAGGCCGGCGTGATTGAGTAAACATTATTGCCACAAGAAATTAATTAGTAAGCAAATTGGATCAAATAAACTAAATTGATTGATTGGACCATAGCATTTAATTTTATTCGTGTGTAACAAATAAGCACATTGTGATATTAGCTAGTTTCACTTTCAATTTATAAATAATAATCTATAATTATGGGATCTAGAGAGTACAATGCAATGCAACATATTCTCATACAACAACATCAATATTACACATCTTCCCACTTTTCTATAGCAAAAAATAGACTTGTGTCAAAACCAAAATTACAATTCTCTGACCATTTGCAATAAAATTGCACCAAATTAATCTACTAACATAAACTGAACTCATTCATGTACGTACCAACATAAACAAATGTGACTGGATTTACAAAAGAAAATTTATAATTAAAAAAAAAAAAAAAAAAACCATGTATTTCATGGCTATAAACTCATGCATGTCTTATAATTGAGTGATCATATGAGAAGCACAACCAGCAAAAAAGAAGAGAGCAAGCCCAAGAAAGAAATATAAGTGGCGCTAGAGGCAGAGTTGGGAGCATGAGGAGAAGAGGGAGTAAGAGCATGGGAAAAAACTTCGAGGAAGTGGCGGCCACGACCGGAGTAACCCTTGCCAGGGACGACGTGAACGTGTAGCTTCTGGCCGAGCTCGCAGTGAGTCCCAACGCTGCTGTAGAAGTAGTAGTCGCCGGTGGCGTTGAGCTGGACTACGGTTGGTCCTTTGTAGAACATGTTTATTACATTGTCATGACCACAATTGTCATAGTCTGCCTTTGATACTTGTAGCACGTTGTGTGCTCCCATTCTGTATGGAAACACTGCAATTTTCCCCAGATTATTTCAATTAGGTTAATGATAAGTGTAGGCCTTATGATTGTGAAGTTAAGAAAAGAAAATATTGAGAATAAATATGCATTACTTACACCAATCTATGCATGTTTTACACACAAGACATTATTTTAGAATATGTATTAAATGTTTATATGCAATTTTTATGTACTGGTATAAAAAATCCTTAGAGACAAAAAATAAAGTATCTCGAGTATTACATTATAAATATGATCTACAATTATTTTTGGCTAAAACCAAAGTTAAACATCAAATTAAGGTAGGAACGTAAACAAATAGATGTGTTAATTAAGGAATATATCAATGAACAAATTTAAGTTATCTCCCTTCCGCAATTTTACATCTTTTGTGAAGTTTTGAAGTTTTCCATTCTCATAATCACATTATATACCACTTATTCCATTGAAAGGGATCGAGAGACTTATAAAACCATAAAATAGCAAGAAAAATCAATATCGTAGGCATGGTTTAGGAGGATTATAATTTATCATGATTATTGATAATATAATTTGATTAGTTCATTTTAAATTTCAAAAGTAATTTGTTAAAGTTGTAACCTTAATTAATAATTTGATAGAGGTATAGAATTATGGACGAGATTTTTCAATTCGCCGTTATATTGACCTGATCCAAACTCAACCTCAACGAACTTAAACAATCCGAAACTTTAAAAACTCACCTAATTTATCACCAACCCCAAAAGTTCTAGGCTTAGCCCAATTTGCAAAGAAGGTGACATTAGGGGGTATTTCCCAACCATCAGTTCCTCCAACAACATGAATCAATGCGCTAGTAGATTGCAGCAAAACGCAGCACATTAAAACCACCAACGGCAATGCGATGCGTATCACAACCATCTTTTCTACCAGCAAAATTTAAATCTTAACCTGTTCAAAAGCCTTTAACAGGTTGAACTTTTATACCAAACTTAAAAATAAAATGTGTTTTAATTTGGAAGGTGAAGTTTTTGTTATTAATGGGGTGGTTGTTATTTTATATAATTAACAAAAAATTAGGTTAAAAGGCATACATTTGATGTTATCTTTAATTAAGCTTTTTACTAATATTAGTATAAACGCCTAATATAACTATTTTTTAAAGTGTTAAAATCTAACAATAATTAAAGTGTGGTGGTTAATTTGACGTTTTAATACACATGAACTGCATGCATGCACTCTAATTATAGAATGGTAATGAAGCACCCCACGTGAAATAGAAATTTCATTAACCATAATTTGGTAAGTTTTGTTAGTGGCTGGGATCATATTGTGTCAATTTGCCAATTTGGTACATAAACATAGGTTTCCCAACGAAGACAATTAAACTTATTTAGTTCTTGTCATAAAAAAAAAAAAAAACACTTATTTAGTTACAAATACATTACACTGCACCATGCACTCACACAATTAATAAACTATGTAAAAATTAGTAGTTTTCATAAAAAAAAAAAAGAAAAAGAAAATAATGTAAAAATTAGTACATGAAGGTATTTCGTTTGTAACATTTAGTTTGAAACATCTAAAATGAAAGTGATTGATAATTAGGGGAGGGATTAATAAGCATATAAACCTAGATCGGTGCAATGTTGTAATCTGCAATAATTCCCAATATAGGAATAATAAGTTTAACATATAATACTCTTATTCATTTTTCAAATTATGAATAATTTTCCCACACATTTCGATTAGTATACAAGGAATAATTTCCTTCTTGAAAATTAATTATGTGTATAACGTGGATGGGATATTAAAAGTCATCAATTATACGAGTAATGTTTACTCCGTAAGGAATTTAAGTTAGAAATTGTATGAATGCGGATATTCCTCTTTATATTCATAAATTTAAATATCATATCCGTTAATTCAAATATAAACTTAATACATCAACATTTTACCAGCTAAATAGATATCCATTACTCGCAACTAATTTTGTTATAACTTAGTCAAAACTTAAATCACTACCTCAAACGTTACCGCAGAACAAGACTTATGTCTATTGCACAAGTACAACATTAACTAAACTAAACTAATGGCGCAAAAACCATTTCTACAAGGCTCTATTACATTCCACGGCCCACTAGAAAACACGTCAACAAAATAAAAAAAATTCTTACACCAATGTTCTGCTCTTTGCCCACAAATTGACATTTCTTGGGGAGGAAAAACACCTTCAAATTGTTTATAATTCCTCTCCTTAAACCCTAAATCACTATATAATTTTCCCCAAATTTGTTGTTCTTCAATTTGGTAATCAATCAAGTTTGTTTTTCTTCTCTTTGAAGAATCTGCAGATAATGGAAGCATCAAAAGCAGTTTGTGGGAAAGAAGCATTGGATCTTCTCAATTGCGTTGTTGATTCAAATTACGATGAAGAGAAATGTCGTAAATTTTTGCAATCTCTTCGCCAGTGTGTCCTCTCCAAGGTTTTCTCTCTCTCCTCCTTTGTTATTTATTTTTAATTTTCTTACATTTCAATGGGAAGTGTTGCATTCTGATTGTTTCTTGATTTCATACATTTTTAAGTTATTTTTCTTAAATTGTGACTATTTTTTCTCCTATTTTGCATCTTAAGATTTTGATGAGATGAAATTAGCAAAGTTAGAATCTTAATTGTAGAATCCAATTATTGTTTTCTGCCTCAAATTTATGAAATTTAGAGGTGTTTGAATAATATGTTAAGAACGAAAAAACCAATTAGTTGTGATTGATGGTGGACTATGATTGCAGAGAATGACGGGTTGAACTATGTAAGATGTAATGTCGATAATGTATACCATATTGTTGGAATTTGTTATGGTGCTGTGCTGAATTAAATCCATTTTATAGCATAAGATCAGTGCCCCGTTGTTCTGGAGGATTGACTGTTGTTAGATGTTAGAATTCGCGATGATGGTTTATGTTTGATACATGCGGTCTCTTAGTTGTTGCAACTTGCAAGTGCCAATAAGACACATTGGAGACTCTGATTAGTTTAATCTGGTTAGATGTTAGATATCGTTTTTGTGATGGTCCATGCTTGAAATTTGCAGTCATTTAGATAGTGCAAGAGATTAAGAAATAAGAATACACTGGAGACTCTGATTGTCCTAACCTGTGCCATTACCTTGGGACCCCATAATAGATCGTAGTTAGACTTGAGTGATTAAGAGATAAGGATCTAATGATGCTTACACGCACCTTGACATTCTAGCCTACTGGGTTGTTGCTTTTGGTTATTGGGCTTTTTTCATATATTTGCTATGTGAGACTAGACTATAATAGAAGGACCTAAATTGCTGCTCAATTTTACACTCTCTAAGTTCTGAATTCTTTGGCAATGAACGTAATCCCTGTAGGGCATTCATGGCAGTAAGTTAATGCTAAACCAACCTTAATGTCTTGGATAGGTTTTGGGTGCAAGTATGTTGTAATTAGTGCTACTTAGAATGTACCACGTGCCACTGTGCCAGTATGTGGAATTGGTATGGGAACATTATGTGCTACCTAGTTTTACACTTTTACCACATTAGTCCAAATGTACATCGTGTACGCATACCAAATTTGCACATTCCAGATTGTGGTGTGCGGGGGAAGTTGTGAAATATACAATACCAGTGGCAATTCACTGAATCACTGGTATGGTCTTGTGAAGTTTGAAAAAATGAATTTCTAGTTATGCTTGGAATTGAGTAAATTGAGGAAAGGCATGTTGCACAGCTGCTCAGTTCTTGTCATGCGATATAAGTATATAACCCTACTTGAACCATCATGTCTTGTTATTATATGTGGAAAAATGTATTGATGTTCTAATACTCTGTCACTCTATGTATGCTTACTTTGTTGGAACACTTGCTGTTATAAGGGTTGCATCATTGCAGCATATTTATGTTTATTGCCTTAAGTTGTAATAGTCTATCTCTATGTTTCTGGCCTATGGTATTGTCATGGTGCTGGTTGTTTGAGCAAAATAATGCAAGAGACTGATTTAATAATGGTGAATATGATTGATCTAGGTTTTTAGATTAAAGCAAATTTGGCTGATTGCTGTTTCTCCCCCCATAATGTTAGACTTATAAGCCAATTTATCTCTTGAGGGCAAACTGTTGATGTTGCTTCTACTGACGTTGTTGTTCAATGTTTCATTATAGAAAGTGAAGAAATTCTCGCTACCTGACGAGAAGTCGCCAGAACTCCAGAAGTAAATCATGGCAGCAAAAGGCAAGCGTGAATTGGTTAGTAGGAATTAGTGTTGTAACGAGTTTATAAAGGCAGCATGTGTAGACCATTGTTGAGAATTTTGTAGATAGAATTGCTGTGGAAGGCTTGAGTTCTTGAGGCTGGTTTCAATTTATGATTTACTAAGTTTTCTGGTCTTTCAAGCCATCAAACAGATATTTTCTTTCAATTGTTACAGGCGAAATATAAACATGTCAATTGAAAGGCATTTTTCAATTCTTTGCTCTTTCTTCAGTTCCAGTGTTACAGACTTACAACTTATGAACCTTCTTAATATTGCTAGAGAAGGCATGTTTATAGTCTATCTTTTTGTTTTTGCCCCCTTAAATTTCTAGTCTATAGCACAGTCTATACGAATTCTATAAGTATGGCTGATTTGCAGATGTGAATAAATGAGGACAACTAGCCAAAGGCATAATGATTAAACCAGAATCGAACATTTCTAATCACAACCCGAGCCACCCTTTGCATTGGCATTGTACAAAGAATTAGCTAACGCTTAAAAAAAAAAGTATTCCATGATTAGTTAGAAATCTTAAAATGCACAAATAAGCTAGCTAGATACGTACTCCTTATGTCCCATTAAGATTGTCTTATTTAACCATTTTTTGTGAGAGTTTTTTTGGATCAAACAAAACAATGTTAATGAGACGAAGGGAATATAGTTTACTTATGTAGAAAGCAACAAAACCAAATTGAACATTCATTATATTAGCAGATTAATACAGTTACCAGAACATTCATGTTGACTTACCAGAACTTTTTTGGAAAGAAGAAGACTTACGAGAATTAATACAGTTAAACATACTAAAATTGCGAAAGATTAATACAACTTCACAGCAAAGCCAAAAGTAATTATTCCCAGAGGAAAGCTCCCATAGCATACTTCCTCTTTTGTTCCAAAGTTCCAATCACCGGCAAACCATAAGAAGCAAGCAAGCAATCTAGCTTCCACTCTTCCATTTTCTCGTAGTCGCCTTTCTTATACCTGGGATAGTGCAGAGGCATCTGGAAATGATTACTGCTACAAGACTTCCTCTCCTTTCGTTCATCAACGAATTTTGAACCTCCATTGACTGATGGCTGAGCAGCCAAGTGTTTTCCAGCATTGCCGAAAAATCTCTCAAACATTGTAAGCATTGTGTTTATTTATATGAGATCTTAGGGAAAGATTTTATATTTTAATGTCATGAGCAACTTCAATGTTCTACGGAGTACCTTTTATAGGGGTGTTGGAGAAGGTAAGGGGGTAAGTTTTTAGAGAACCAAGAATAAAGAAATACAAGAAATGCATTTTTATTGAATAAATTGGAATTATTTATAAAAGAATTAATATTAAATCAGTGAGATTTTGATAATAGAACCAAATTCCTGAACCATTGTTACCTTGAGCCACAAGCCCACACTTGCTTCTAGTTGGGATTTGTGTTATATGTCTTTGTGCAGCAAGCTATTCTCTGATATGCCGCATGAATATATTCTGATTTTACCAGACTGAAGAATTTGCAGTAAGAGAATATGTGAACAAAATAATACAAGTATTATACTTATAGGTGATTTAACCTTTTAAAGGTTACATAATATTCAACGATAACTAAGCAAAATTACAAAATGATTTAAAAAATTTACTTACAATTCACAAGGATATTGCTTTCCAAAAAATAATTCAAAGTCGTGTTCAGTTTCGTATATGACTCACCACATATTCCCTTGGTCTTGCAACCAGTCCTTTCTCCCGCGGAACCTTAAGTAGGCAGCACCACCAATTCCCAGAATAATCAGGAAATCAGCACCTCGGAGAGCATAAACCGGAATTATCAGGAAATTGTTCACTATCTTCTCAAACTATGATTCAAAGTGCAGATGCAGAAAGGCATATTCTTTTGGCCCAATGAGGTCAGGAATTCACCCTTTCTATAGCAACTTCTTTCAGATTCGCATGCTCTGGTTTTGCCATAACAGGTAACTCCACAAGCACATTTGGAGGAGCGAAATACATGTGCAATGACATCATGCATATAATGATACCCAAGAAAAGCTGCAAAATTGCAAGGGAAAAAGAACGCCATCAACCCTTTGAACATGAAACAAACCAACTAGAGGTTTTAAGAGGTGTGTCCTCCATCCTAAAAATAATGTCCTCTTTTTCAATAAGTTTTGAGCAAGTAGCAGACACAGAGATATTGCAATGGACATGCATTGTAAAGCACTCCACCTGTAAATAATACGAAGTAATATATTTCGAACTATATACTGTTTTAGATGTTCAAAGAAAGTGATTATGATTATATTTCTTACAAGAACTCACGTAGAATCAGTGATATGGAGGAGGTATATAAAAGAAATGTAATAAGATTTAATTACAATAGGTGAACTGGCAATTAATCTTAAACAGAGGGAACTGAAACAATAACACGTTAACTAGTTTTTTCTGTTGAACAGATCATATAATTGTACAAACAAACTTTTAGGCCTTGTTTGGTTCTGTGTAATCAAGCAATGAAATTTCCAATGCAAATTCAACTCCCTGCTGGCCTGCTCCATACAGGAACTCTGATCATGTGATCCATATTAACAAGCTAATCACTATACACTCCTATTTCTTTTAGTTCTTTCCATTTGGATCTGGCCACTATTTAGGATTAAATCAAAGTGAATCTTATAACTTTTTCCAATATATATATATATATATTATAAGCATATTTATGCGGGGTATCGTTTGGTACTTTGGTTCATATCAATGAGTATGTTGAGAATATCTACATTTTATGATTTTTAAAGATATTAATTATAAAAATATGCATTTGGCAAAGGGAAATGGGAAGAGCAATTAGAGACCAGAGGGAGTATTTTCCATATCTAGGAAGCCATCAGGTGAACCAAATAATCGTTACAATAAATATAGAAGGTAGAACTGTAGCACAAATATTTGGCTTTTAGAAGTAGGCTTAGAAATTCATTATATCATTCCAATTCCCATGGGATGTTCATGTCAGGAAGCTATTGAGCTCTAAGAAGATAGGTTCAAGCATACGTTATAACTTAATAAGGTATTGTTCTCCTAAGTTTATTTAAATAAATTTCAAAATATAAATTTAGTAAACATACGTTTAGTTCAGCAAAATCTTTTATATAATTTAAGAGTCAGTTAACTACAACCCTCCAAAAGCCCACTTCTCAAATCTTATGCATTTTAGGGTTTTTTTTTTTTTTTTTTTTTTTTTTTTTTTTTTTTTTTTTTTTGTGGGGGTGGGGGGGGTGGGTATAACCTCCAATTAAATAACTTCCATTTCTCCAATTTTATTTATTTATTATTTTTTTTAATAACTTCCACATCTCCTATTGTTTTTCTTTTTAAATATATACATGCTTTGTATATACCGTGCGTTTAGCACGGATACACTTTAAATTAAGCTAAGAACAACATAGCCCGAGTCTGCTTGTAAATATACTTCCTCCATTCTGATCTACTTTCCAATGCATGATTTGGACTATACATATATATTAAGAAAAATCTATATCCTGAAAGATATATTATTAAGAAAAAATTATATCCTGAACGATACTCCCTCCGTTTTTTTTTAATAGGCTAGAGATGAGATTGCGCGGAGTTTTACGTGGTTTAATAAAATAAGTTGTTAGTGGTGTGAGAGGGAGTGGGGACCATTGGAGGAGTGAGATTGATAAAGTAAGGAGTGGGGACATTAGTGAGTAAAGATATATTATTTAATTGTAAGAGAATTCCAAAAATGGAACTCTAGCTTATAAAAAAAATGGACGAAAATAGTAACTCTAGTTTATAAAAAAAACGGAGGGAGTATGTATTAAGAAAAATCTAACAAGACCCCACATGCTTTTATCTTTTCTTATCATGGTCAAAGAGAGTCAAAAGTGTAAAAGTCCAAATGCGGCAAATTTTTTTAAAAAATGGAGGAAGTATAAAAATACTTCATCCATTTTTTTTAATTATTCTAAAATGTAGAGGATGCGCACATTTAATGAAGCCAAATGTTGGGGAGAAATGGAGATAAATAATAAAAAAAATAATGTTACAATTAATATGAAACTTTCAAAATAAGAAAAAATTGCAATTAAATCAGAGAGTGAAGTATACGATTCCTCCGTTTTATATAAATTGCAATGTTTTTTATTTATGAAAGTTTCATACCCATTGCAACATTTCCTTATTTGTATGTATTTTCTCCATATCTCTCTCTTCATCACATGAGTTATTCCTTTTCTTTCGCTCTGTCTCTCTCCCCAACCCCCATCACATGAGTTCTTCATTTTATTAATCTTTTTACTCTTTTAATTAAATGGGTAACTCAAGTTCAGCAGATTCTCTACAGTTGCAATATACATTCTATGTTTTATCTTATAATTGCAAGCAAGTGAATAGGGCCACAACCCACGGAAAAAGGCGAGTGAATGGAAATGGGGTAAGTTAGCCCATGTGATTATTTAATAAGTAGAGTACAAAGAGAGAGAAAAGTAAGGGTGAGTTCCATTCACTTGATTATCACTTTTTTTTTGGTTAATCTAAACTTATCTAGCTTAATAGAACTTATTTTGGTCGCAAATTGAACTTGGATAGTCTTCATTAACCTTATTAGAGCTTATCTTATCTTATTTGAGCTTATAATTGGAATTAAGGTGAACTAAGCAAGGCTAAGAAGAACAACTTGCTCACAAAAGAAGGATATATTTGTAATATCACATGTAAAAACTTTTCATTTTAAATTTAGTGGCCAGTGATATGTTATATCTGTATAGGAAAGTGATTCTACTAAATAAACATGGAGGGAGTATATGAGACAGAGGAAGAATTATTTTGATATGCACTTACAAAACCATTATCTAATCCAGATCACCCACTAATGAATTTTGAATATTTTCTTTGATTAAAGATATGCAAGAAAAAATTAAGTGCCTTGTTTTTCTAGAAAGAGCATGCAAATAATCAATTTGGGATAACCCAAAAATTGAGATATGTCATTTCAGGTTTATAAATTCAAACCATGAGTCTATAAGAAAAAAATGCTGCAAGAAGAATGTCACATGTTAACCCCTCCCCTTCTCGGGGGTTTTCATTTTATTTTATTTTATTTTGGTGTGGAGGGGGGGGGTGTTTGTCAGTCACTCTGTAACATAAAAGAAATATGATCAGGAAGAATAAGATAATAATTAGTGTGTATATGCAAAGACAAACCTGTAAAGTTGGCTTAAATTCGAACAGGTAAGCAGACAAGAGCATTGTCAGTAGCATTGCCATTGAAGTTGCATATACCTGAAAAATATAATGAATTCCCATGAAACAGAAAATTACTTGTGCTGTAATAAGAACTTGCAATTAAGAAATCTATTATTCCAAACACAAGTATTTGTTAGTAGAAACTAAAATTGGACATCCTACCTCATATGAACCTTTGGTTTCCATTACTAGGTGTATTAAGAAAATATATTTACCTTCACAATGTTATCTGCATACTTCATTATCCATGAAACTAGTAGCCCAGAAGACCCTAAGTTTAGAACCACGAGCCAGGTTGCCATACTATATCCATCAAAAAGGCGTTGCCACCATGGCCCCTTTTCAAAACCACTTGTGAAATCATCCAAAACTAGGCGTGCCAAGTTGAAGATAGTGCCAAATCTGGAGAAGTAAAAAAATGACTGCATTACTGCCTGATATCTAACAAAGTTCACAAGAGAACTGATATAAGCACCACTGTCTCCAAACAAGGTAGAAGTTTGAGTAACAGTGCAAAACCCGAAGAAAAAATAAATTGATTCCAACCTTTTTTTTTTTTCTCCCAAATACTGGTGTTCATCTATTCAATCACTAATCAATAAAGAGGTTGGATTAGAGGATAGTAAAGGTCTAACCATGTAAGGCTGCTTTTCATTTCCTTTTTTTTCTGGAGGTGAGGGCGTTAAGGTGCATAAGTAGCTAACAAGCAGAGATGATGCTCAGAGATTGTAATCAGAAAGCAAACATAAAATTTACATAGTTACAAATACTGAAATAATTCTGTTCAAAGTAAAGAGCAAAGGTAAGTCAATTGCTACTATGTGGCCATGTGGTATACCTCCCTCTTTAACAATCCTCGGGATAGAGGAGAGCAATTCACCTTGCCTATAGCATATTCCCAAGTAAAACAGAGGTATTGCTCATAACTTCAAATAGATTATGCCTATATGTACAGTCCGGGAAGAAACATAGGACACTATGGCTGAGTATAGATTGGAGAAAGATCAACAGTACAAAAGGGGATTATATTTTCCAAATTAAAAGGCATCTTATTTTACATGTCGCTATCACAACATTATTCAAGCATAAAGTAGGAGCAAAGTAGCAAACAACCTAAGGGGTGGGTGATTACCAGATAAATGCTACTGGCGGTCTAAGTCAAATCACCAAACAAGTCAGTATGCATGATACCATGCAATCATGATAATACCATAAATGCAAGCCTAAGCATGTAACTCAGATAGAGATACCTACGTATAAAGTTGTACATTCTGCCAATACAAGCTGTCATTGTTTTTCTTCATGAGGAACTCAGTATAAACACCAGCTAATGCTGACAGACAAGCTGACAAGATCCCAAACATATACCCTTGGATTGGTGCTGAGAGAAGTGAGTCACATGACGACGCTCCACAGCCTTTGACCTATGATGAGAGGGAAAAAAGACAGATTAAACGTTACATTGGCAAGGTACAAATGAATTGCCACAGATCATTAACAGATAATCTCTTCAGAAATTCCATGTTCTACCTTCTTCTCTTTGCTCTTTTATTTATTTATTTATTTTTTATACTGGGGGTGATTGGGTTGGGGGGGGGGGGTGTTCATAATGAAAGCTGTGTTGAATTGTTGATTAAATTACTGTAGACAGAAAGCATGTCCCATGCCCCTAGGTAGAAAACCATCATTAATCTTGATAACTATCTTTGATACTGGCTTTGATGTAATAGTAGGTATTAACATGCACCTCCATAATAATAATTTCAGAACTGCACTTGGAAAAAAGGAGCATACGGGTTTGGAAGTATCACCTGGCTTGTGGTTGTGCCAACAGCCAACAGAATTATTGCCATCCATTGCAAGTTTGTCAACTTTTTCTTTAAAAATAACCTGCATGACAAAAAACCTTCAGAACTAAATTCCAACTTATATATAAACATGAGTCTGCTACAAATTAAATAAAAAATTCAAAAAAATTGTTACATATAAAATCAGCTTAAACATAAGAGGATATGAATCAAGAAGTTTTGAAAAGAGTGGAAGCACCTAAACAGTATCCCAGTGGTAACAATCTTGAGATTGCCCATGATCTGGTAAGTGGATGTATCCACATATGTGAGGGTGGCAAACTGAACATTGTTATGAATCAGATATATAACAGATGGTATTGGAAACAGTCGCACAGTTTTCCAATCAGTTGTCATCCTTAAAGAAGGTGAAGTGCGGACCTCCCTCCAAAGAAGTATGCTGGATACCACCAGCTAGCATTACCAACACAAAAGATGTAAATAAGTCAATAGGAAGCAATGTTGAACTATGAAGTCACATAAGAAGCTCAAAATTCAAGTCTCCGAGCTACAAGGGAATAGAAGGAAGCACCTTGAACACCTCAGCGAGAAACGGAACGGTTGCATAATCATACTTGTAACCACCATTACTCTGTGATAAAGTAGTTAAAATGCCCTGCCACACATAAAGTAGAGGCTAAGCATAAGATACAGGTAATTGCTCATTTGTTAATATACAAATTCAAATGAAAATTCAAGTATTAAGTTATCAGAAAACAATATTGCAGTTCGAAACTTGGCACTAAGGTTAAAGATGTTGATGAACTTAAACCCAGCATCCCAGAGAAGCCTTTTGTCACCATATGGTGACACAGGCTGATGAGCAAGTTCCCGCTTATTTGGATAGTATGGGGCATCGTAGGTTGTTACGGGTGTTCCTGGGACCAACAATTAGAGCTGAATTTCAAAAGAACATTTGGAGGAACAAAAGTGTTCAGCAGTGACCGCCAAATAAGTTCATGTTAAACTCCAGCAAGGGTCAACTTTAAAGGTATCCATGTTTCCTTCTTTTTTTTTTTTCCTTAAATTAATTGCTAGTGGGATGGCGTCCTCGTGTACTTTGTAAATAAACGAGTTTGATATGGAAAAGTAAAAATATCATTCTGTATGTAAGGGAAAATATGTGAAAGCTGTATTATATCCATAAGCGCATGGTCATAAAAACAAGAAGTTAGAGCCATAAAACCCATAATAAACTCCTGGTAGATATAGGTCTCTTTAGGATGCTCCTTTGACCCAAGAATGATTTCCCAAACAAATTTGCCTTTTCTTTTCTTACAATTTAAAATTCATGGCATCTCTATCCCTTCACACAGCATAGAAAAACATGGATGTAGAACAGAGTTAACATTGGATAACTGCTTCATCAATAGCAAGTGTATTCGGCAATCTGAACAGTATAAATATGTTCACAAGTCACAACTCACGTTACTGAATTCATCCTTCCTTAAATTCCTGTAAACAACTATTTCCAAGTCCTCCATTAAACTACAATATATGGTAAAAATAAAACAAAATAAATTCTGGGAAGTTCCTTCAGTCACCCCACGTCTTATTCATCCGTTTAGAGGTTAAACTACTCCGTACTTAAACAATTTTACTCCCTTTATGTGGTAACGATGGTCACATTGTCCCCCCTCTTTGATTAAATAAATGCCATAGTTTTGATAAGAGATCCTTTGTAGAAGTTGGTACAGTTCCACATTCTCCAGATCACTCTTAACTCCTAAGTAGGGACATCTTAGAAAATTTCCAATCATACACCAATGCTATTTTGAAAAATACAACAGCATTTTTCACACCCCTGATGATATTTTCAAAATACTAATCACTTTCCTTTTACAAATGTTGTTTTAACTTCTACTCGCTTTTACTTGATTACTTTTTTGTATGTAGTTTTTTTACCCTCTAATTAACTAGTATATGTGACTATCGTTTCTGTAAGGGGGGGGGGGGGGGGGCAGCTGCACAAAAGTTCTTCACACATGGATGAACAAACTTGATTCCAATAATTTCTTTAGAATTATGCTTCATAACACTCCACCTCCTCAATTTGCACTAGAATTGAAGTTAAGGAAATCCAATAAAACAAGAAATAAAGGTATCAAGAAAATTAGCAAAAACAAAACGCAAACATAGGGAGGTAGGCGCGGAGTTCAGGGGGTAATCCATAAATCATTCGATCCTTCAAGATGCGTTTACAATAAACGGGCTCCTGCTCCATCCTCGTACTTAGTACACAATATTGGTCCAGTGAATACTACTTCCTAAGTCTAATTCTCCTAAGAGCTATATTCTGCTACACAAACACCCATTTTAGGTGAAATTTTCACTGATAATCATAATAAAACTGCATTTCTAATGTGCCCAAATTAAACAAATAGCTCCATCATATTAATCACACTAACATTCACAAGTAACTTAAATACCCAGAAATATAAAAATTAACAACAAATTGCAGAACATATAAAAAAGAAGAAGAAAACCCCATTAAAAATAGAAAACTTAAGAATCAAATTCATATAAAAAAAAAAAAAAATTCAAATAAAAAAATAAAATAAAAATGATACGATTTAAGCAGACCTGAGAACTGGTGAGGATGGTGAGAAGAGCAGCTACGAAGTACCACTGCATTGAGATCTTCCCTTTTTAATCACCCTTTGAAAAAGAAAATTAGGGTTCTAAAATTAGGGGGAAAAAGATGAAATTTTGCGGATCTTCATTGGGAAGAAATCGTAGTGTAGTAGAGAAATTGAAACTCGGAAAATAAGTAGAATTTTTAGAGCTGGACTGTAAGACGGAACTCCGACGAAGATCCAAGAAAAAGGGTAAATTTTGATAGCAAAATTGGTATGATTGAGGGTGGAGTGATGAGTGATGTTAGCCTGAAGAGTGCGAAAAACTGTAAATTAGCAAGCGAGGAGTGAAGCAACTGTGATGCGAAGGAAGGGAGAAAGTGAATCATCAACAACACGATTTAGGAATTTTTATTACTGTACTTCATTTAAAATTATTATTTTTTTTCATTAAAAATCATGAGGGAAATTCGTAATGTAAATACGAAAATCATGTTAAGTTCACCTTATATTACTTATTACGGAGTATTAAATGGATATTACGGAATACATATTAAGGTTAGGGTTTGTTTGTTTCATTTTATTTTAATTTATTTAGATAAAAGAATTTCTAAGGAAATAAATTCAACAAAAAAAAAGTATAGAATATTCGTTCAAACAAATTAAAATAAGTTTAAATAAAATAAAATAAGCTTAGATATTCTTATAAACAAATAGGTTTAGATAAATTCATATAAAATAAATTCAGAGAAAATCGGATAAATCAAACGGAGACTATGAAAACCTGTAGTTATGTCTTGAAATCAAGATTTACTTTACATTTAAGATTATTCTTGAGCAAATGCATCTATTAAGCAAACAATTTCCACATATAATGCTCGACACAAAATCCTGTTAATTCAGCTCAAAAACTCTACCAAAGGAGATACATACCAACAAATATGAGCAAATCATTTCATTGGCAACGTATAAATTTGTGGAAGTTTTTTTTTTTTTTTTTTTTTTTTGAAAGAAAAACTTGAATACGATTTAGCAAAGGTTGTTATTTACACTGATACACACGGGTGCACTGTGCATCCAAAAATTTAATCATTAAATTAGCAAAAAAACATAACCTTGGTGCATCTTGCACCCGCATGTATATAAAAATATACAAAAAACCAGATAGAGAGACATGTTATCATATATTTCATATAGCTTAATTTAATACTATTCTGCAAACTAGCTATAGTGTGACGAACAGACAATAATGTACTACTTGTAGTAATTAAATAAAATTAAAAATATCGTTACAAAAATAGATGTAAAATTAAACTTGAGTGAAATCTTATCAAAAATTCAACAGTAGACATGGACAAGTCAGTTAAAGCATCAAGAACAATTTACTCCTCACAGCAAATAAATGAGATAGCACCCTAAAAAAAAATGAAGTTAGTTATTACAGTGCTTGGTATTTGATGCTATATATTGTTGTAGCAGTTTTTTATATAGCAATCTTGTGCATACGATTAACTTCCAAGCCCCTGCATTGCATGGCTGCATACATAAATTAAAGTTTAAAGAAGATATACCCGTGAACACACTTGCAAATATAGATAGGGTGATATATTTTAGATAATACAAGATTCAACTCATTTGTATTTTCACAATTGAAAAAAGTAATTAACACTCTCTTATTTTTTCTTTTTCTTTTTACTAGTACTAGCAACACTAACCGTAGGTAATGTGCAAAACTTAAAGGAATGAAATAGTATAGGGTTAGTTGTCGATAAGCTACATGTAGATAACTAAAAGCCTAAAAGTAGAGGGAGTAGTATTACTAATAGACTTGTAGTAGAGATGGTTATTAAGGGCAATTCAATTTGATAATCTGATCTTTGGTGTGAACATCTTTACTTCTTTAGTACAAAGTATGTTGCAATTAGTAGTGTATAATACTCTCTTTGCAACTTACTAATACTAGTAAGAAAATTAAATGGAAAAACTATTACATCGTTACTTTCCAGGCCAATATAATGATTTTCTTACAAAAAGCTAAACATAAGCTCCATCTGTTTGAAAATCACTCTACAATAAACTACAAGGAAAGGATAAAAAAAAAATAATAATAATAATAAAAAAAAAAGGTATGGAGGAAAAAAAAGTTTATCCGTTTTTCCGAAGCGACACTCTTTCCGTAAATCTTTTTAGGGTTTAAAGAGAATCTCGCTTGAAATTCAAGGAATTGACCTACCTGATCCAACCCCTTATCCGTTAATACTAGAAGATTATTAAATACTCCCTATGTATGCCATGAAAAGGGGGAGGAAATCAAAGGGATTTGGATTATTTTTTTTATTTTTGAAAAAATAAATAAAAAAATAATCTCAACCCTTTATTTCTACTAATTCGTGTATTACAAGCTCAGGACAAGAAACTATATCATCTTCTTTAAAGAGCATTTTCGTACACTTATCCTAATCCCTTTTAACTTTAATTAATGTACATATGTGACTTTAAACTAGTCAACACAAACTACCACTTTTAACTTTTATAATCCACTAATAGCTAAACTTTAGCTTATTAGCTTTCACCAAAATACATAAATTTAGATGTTTAATCTTTCTAATCTAATACCGACTTTGAGTAATAATAGCTGATAGATACACTGGTACACAATATAATTTAGACTTAAGAGTATTTAGCAAAAAACACTCACTTTTTGCTTCTTTGGTCACTTCACATTTAATTGGACACAAAAAGAAAAAAGACACTCACTTTTATTTTTGATCACTCTTTTCCCCTCTTCCCCATTTCATCAAACCAAGCATTCACGAGACACTTCTGAATTCCCTCCTTTGAATTCATCCTTCTCTCTCTCTCTCCTCTAATCTACTTCACTTGGATTACAAAACCGTGAACATCTCTTACAATCCATTTTTCTTTTCTTTCTTTCTTGAATTTTCTATCATTTCACTCGAAAATTCAATCCTCTTCAGTTCAGTTTAGTTCAATCCAGTCCATTCCAGTTCATTTCAACTCGATATTGTATTCTACCTTTCGCGACCATGAAGCTGAATAACCCACTATTGAATCAATACCTTTCTTTGTTTCTCCTTAATCTAAGCATGTTTCTATAGTACTCTTTCTAAACTTCCCCTGTTTTTTTCATTTTTGGTTAGTTTAACAAAAAAAAAAAAAAATGATGGTTCAATGTTATGGACTAACCCATTGGGTATTTCTGTCACGTATAAACTTTTAACCAATTGTGGCATGCTACAAATCATAGCCATAATTTCGAAAAGCCATGCATCTCAATCAGTTCATGAAGTTCTTAAAATCAATCCAAACTTACAGAAGAAAAATCCCAGTAATAATATTTTCACCCTCTTCTAATTATTAACATAAAAATTTTCTTACAATATTATTATTTTTTTTGTCCTACAAAAAAGTTCATCAAAATCAGAGATGGAGAGCTCATCATGTTTTCCAACATCATTAAGCTGTTTAAATCTCCGGAGGAGGAGGAGGAAGTCACTAGCGATTCGCTCAATGGCGAAAGCACCAAGAAGAAACTGGGATATGGATGCAGAAAGCACGGAGAGGAAGCGATTCGATAGCTTGGAATCGTGGTCGATGATACTGGATTCAGAGAATATAGAAGCATTAGAATCAGCAAACCAAGAAGGAAAAGAAGAATGGACAGCAGATTTATCGCAGTTATTTATAGGAAATAAATTTGCATCAGGAGCTCATAGTAGGATTTATAGAGGGATTTATAAGCAGAGAGCAGTTGCTGTAAAAATGGTGAGAATTCCAACACATAAAAATGAAGCAAGAGCTAAGCTTGAACATCAGTTTACTTCTGAAGTTTCCTTGCTTTCTGGCCTTTATCACCCCAATATAGTCCAGGTAAATTTTTAGGCTTATGTTTTATGTTACAGTATTTCTCATGTTTAAGAGAGGGTAAAATAAAATATTACTTCGGTAATAGGAAAAGAGTGCACCCGAAATTTCATATGCTTAAAGTATAGGTAGTACGGACACTTTTAAGAAAGGTTTTATTTTGTATCTAATTTGTATGAATATTGATTAACATGTTTTGAATAGGACTAAGTTATGAACCTATATTGCTATTTGCCTATTTTTGTGGTAGTTATGTTCTAATTTTAAGTCCATTTTTTTTTTTCAAACTTTGTACAAGATAATGAGCTAATTTTATTTGTGCTTGTAGTCAAAACATATCTATGCTTATCTAATTATGTTCAAGACATACGAATAGATTAACCTATCTTAGGTTAGTTGGTTAATATTTTGATGGTGGTACCCAATACATGAGATCAAATCTTATTTACATCATTTGTCCTTTGTGACTCCCTTTACACTAAAAAAAACATCAGGTTTAGGTAACAATAATGTGACACTCTATTAACTAAATATTGTTGACCCGTTAATTTCTTTTCTTTATTTGTAAGGGAAAAAAAGGGCAATTGCTTTACTTTTTTGGCAAGGTTTAGATGATTTTTAGCATGCACATAATAAGTAGTGCTTGTATAAGTGTGTAACAGTATATAGCACTTCTGCCACCTTTTATCAGCCGGTATAGTTTCTAAAATATTAATTTTTTTTATTTTTTTGTGTGGAATATTGCAGTTTATTGCTGCCTGTAAGAAACCACCAGTATACTGCATAATTACAGAATACATGTCTCAAGGGACCCTGAGGATGTACCTAAACAAGAAGGAGCCTTACTCCCTCTCAACAGAAACGATACTTCGATTAGCCCTCGACATTTCAAGAGGAATGGAGTACCTTCATTCACAAGGGGTGATCCACAGGGACCTCAAATCCAACAACCTGCTCCTCAACGACGAGATGAGGGTGAAGGTGGCAGATTTTGGCACGTCATGCTTGGAAACGCAGTGCCAAGAAACCAAAGGCAACATGGGAACGTATCGTTGGATGGCCCCGGAGATGATCAAGGAAAAGCCCTACACAAGGAAGGTAGATGTGTATAGTTTTGGGATTGTTCTTTGGGAGCTTACTACTGCTTTGCTTCCCTTCCAGGGTATGACCCCTGTACAAGCTGCCTTTGCTGTTGCTGAAAAGGTTAGTTAGTCCTTAGTTTTTGTTTCCATTTTTCTTTTTTATAACCTTTTATACATGGCACTTTTGATTAAAATGCCATCGTATGCACACAGCTACTACCTTTTAAGACATTTCGTTAGCATTATCAAATTAATTGAGAGTAATTACCCTTTCATCTTAGAATGATCGTAGCAATTTCATCTTAGATCATAGAAATAGAGATGAATTGAGAGTAATTACCCTTTTATCATTAGAATGTCAAAAGTACATCGCACATTTATAATACTACCTTTATTTGAATTCAGGCTCTACATTACAAAACTAGTTTAACATCACTAGAACGCCAAAAGTACATCGCACATTTATAATACTACCTTTGTTTGAATTTAGTCTACATTATAAAACTAATTCCGGACTGACTACTAAAAGAACGTAACTTCTAAGAGAATTTTAGATTAACAACAATCGATTTGATCTGATGTTAAATTGTGTTATTGTATTGCCAGAACGCTCGGCCTCCCTTACCAGCAAGTTGTCAGCCTGCCTTGGCACATCTAATAAAGAGATGCTGGGCAGCAAACCCAAACAAAAGGCCAGATTTTAGTTACATTGTGGCGGCTCTTGAGGAATACGATGAGTGTGTGAAGGAAGGCCTCCCTCTCGTGTCACGCCGTCGATTGGTCAGACGTAATGCGAATGCAATAGCTCATCGTTTCAAAGCCTGCATTACCTTAAATTCTCCCCCCTCCTCTTCTATACCTGTAAATGCATGACCTTTAAAAACAAATATCTAGAAGAAAAAAAAAAATTGGGAAAAAGGGTCATTCATGATCTTGATTAATGTTCATTATTTTTTAGTTTGAATTACTAAAGTTTATGACCACTTGCCTAATTTAGTTGAGATTATTTACTCATGCCAATCTATTAAAGTCAATTATGTGTACATATCTATTGCGACCTTCATTTATTGCTTAGGATATACTCCTATCTCTAAGTCTTAGTCTTACCAAAGATGATTGTATTTGTTACTAATTTTCATTTGCTTCATTTTATTGTTGATCAATTACGAAGTATATTTTCTATCAAGATTGTCACTATTTCACCTCATTTTAGTGAAGTATTAATTTAGTACCCGTGAAATTTACAAGTACCATAACTAATATCAGTAATATGGGATTGATGCCATAAGTCCCAACTATTGTCGAACGTTTAGAGTAGTAATAGAAACTACTCCGTAACAAAATTGTGACAGGACAACATTTTTTCAAATAAATTTTGGTAAAAAGAAAATACAAGAAAATTAAATTGTGACATGTGGCATCTTAAATCATTTTAGCAATTTAACTTTGGGGACTATTTTGAGCAAACACCCACTAAAGTTGCAATTGTTCCAAATTGATCAAAAGTTGAGACGGTGAGACCAATGAAAGAAGATTATTCATAACTGGGACTACTGGAATTAAATTTTCGTATTAGTACGACTTCAGTAGGTGATAAAGGGGTACGGCCTAATGCCCATATGGGTATCAAAGGTGTGATAAATTGTTTGACGCCTAGAAATGATACAATCATACAAATTAGCAATGTAGTTTGACATCAATATATACACAATTTCTTTATCCTAGTTTAATCTCTCCTATAAAATTACATAAATACGGATTTCTATTTTACAGTCATGCAGCTCATGCTGTTTGTATCTTAACCTGAACAGAGGAGTTGCTACACATCACATATTAGCATGTCTGCTGATTACTAGAATGCCCTGGGGGAACCCTGAATAGTCAATCCCTTCAGTAGTTTGGTGAAGGAAATCAACCGGTTCAGGTGATCCTCTCAGCCGGAAATTTGGATCGATTACGGCTAGACCTATAGTTGGAGATGTATGAAGCAAATTCATGGTTGCTGTACATTACATCCCATCAATAAAGCCAATTTTCCTTTAGTGCCAAGTGTCAATAAATAAGACTCGTGACTACCAAGAAAAACAAATACCCATTTACAAATTAAGAAAACAACTCTATATAGAAAGCTACAAGGTAAAGCATTAATATTTCATATACTTCAGGTTTGAACAGAAATTCAAAATTGAGGAAATCAGATTTCCATGTTTCTAGGAGATAAATCATACTAAAAAGTTACCTCTGGTCAAGCCTTCTAAATCCTCCAAAAATTCAGCCACTGTTAAGATCGAAGGTCTGCGCTCTTTAAACGTTCACGAGATTTAATAAAGCCCCTGATTCACATTTGATGAACCCTGACCAGTAATGCACTCTTTGTATCTGAAAAGCACAACAATTTTTTTTTCTAAGCAATGTTTCCATCAAAAAGAACATTTGTTTTCTTGATATGAACACACATCATATGGGAAGATTTGCAAAGCTTCTCAAAAGAAGAAAATACTAGTAAATATAGATTCAAATGTAATGTTTACCCATCAGGAATAAGCAGTCTTGAGTCGAAATCAAATGTACTCCTGAGCAATCGGGGCCATGATCAATGAACTGCCAAAAAAAGAAAGGTTATTGCACTGATTCACACTACAGACAACCGAATCCTAAGCTGCAGCAATGAAGACTCCTTCCATTCCAGGAAAGTTTGCATCTTTTAGAAAAAATTGTTACTCATATAGCAAAGTCATACCATGAACTCAAGCTCAAGCATATAGTCTCTTCCATCTCTCTTCAACACATGCATTTTATGAGAATACTTGAGAAACCCTTCAGCCCATAAACTTTTGCTACTGGCCGGTCCAGCCCACCGATTGAGAAAGAATGTGATTTGGCTAGAGAATTAACAAGAACCACAGGATTAGTTTGACAACAATCCATCCCCACATCAACTATACAATGTCATTTGGGCGAAATACAACATTGTCAAAGGCACAACCTTCATGACAAAAGAATGCATGATCATATCAAGTCGCCTTCACAGCAACAGTCACCAGAGGACTCCAATACAGAATAAGATGGAGCGCGGAGACATGCTAGATTCTCAATTGGTTTTATAGTTATGAATCCTTAAACCATCTCTAACACTTTTATACATCCACTGGAGTTGGCAGCAACAAGCACATTAGATTTTCCTTTCCAGCACACACTGGAAACAAACTGCCCATTGCCATCATCAGTCTCTTTTCCAGATATTGGATCGACTGAGCCAAACTTGTGTGAGGTAATTGGCATAGGAAGAGATTTATAATAAGTATAGACCTAAGCAAGAGGAAAATGAGATGTCAGACAAACACCAAAGGGTATGAAATTTACAAATGAATAGTCAGAAAATTTTGAGGTTTCCTTGCATTTAAGTGCACAAGTGTTTGAAAATTTCATTCAGGTTTCTTTAGTCTTTAATCAGCCCCTGTATGGCGGGGGTGAATTACCAAAAAAAAAAAGAAAAAGAAATACCTCATTTGTTTCTGAACCACAAGCTATGTACCCTTCACCAACGGATAAGCCCACAAAATTCTGCAAAATTCAGAGGTGGGACAGTAGTCAGAATTATCTGCTCAACCATTTAAATGACACAAGTTCATATGATCAAGCAACATATCAATTGAAATATAGGTTACCAACCTTCTCATTCTTATGCCCCCCAAGGGTTAAGCTGCAAGCATTGTTGGACAACCCAGCAGCACTAGATTTGCTAAGGTCCCAAAGCTTCAATGTGTTATCCGTTGATGCAGAAACAAGGGTCGCAGAGTCAACAAACTTCACATAACTAACAGCTTTCTCATGACCAGCCAACACACACCATGGAGCATTAGCATTACGGAGATCATAGCAATATATCTTGTAATCAGCAGACCCAAAGGCCAGCAGATGGGATGAGTGAGCAGAAAACTGAACACAGCACACGTTTGCAATGTTCCGGATTGTATGCAAAGAATTTTTCTGCCCAAATTTAAGAAAGGATGAAATATTGTGCATTTTTCCCATTACAAGGGCCATGATACCTCACTTAACTACTACTCCCTCTGTCCCCAAATTAAAGTCCCATTTAGCACATGTTTAGAAAGTGAATTAAAAAAATAAGACATTGAGGTTTGGACAATTGTCTAATTAAAGGTGAATACAAACAACAATAGTTGGGTTTGGTTGACAAAAAGTGAGTAAAAAAATTCAGATAGTGGGGTTTTGTTAACTAAAAATGAAAAGAAACAGATAAAGATGAAATGAAACTATTATGTTTTGGTTCATCTGTTTTGTCTGAAAATATGTTGTCTGAAAATATTTTCTCTGAACTTATTTTATTTTGTCTGAATTTATCTGACAATTTTTTTTTTTATCTGGTCTCAATTTATTTTTAAACTTATTTTATCTTAAATTATTTTGTTCTGAAATAAAATTAATTAAGCAAGAATAAGATGAAGCAAACAGACTATTAATTAGAGACAAGGTTATTGGGTAAAATGAGACTTTTATTTGGGAAGAAGGGGAATACGATTTAATAACTGAGCAATGGATTATGGCCAGACATTTTATCAAGGAGATGATAATCATGAAAATAGCAAACAATTGTATGATAACTACAGAGAAAAGGATGTAGACTAATTTGTAAATTACCTCATTTATGCTCCATAATTTTACAGAGCAATCATCACTTCCAGTAGCCAACTTCATGGGATCCAACAGAGAAAAATCAACAGACCATGCCCTTTTCTCATGTTCGGTATACTGAGAAAACTCTTGACCAGTGCTTGCATCCCACAACTGGTATTCATGAAATAATAAACAATAATAGGTCAACATCACTAGTTGAAATTAGTTAAAATTAAACACACGAAGCAAGAGATATTTTCAGGTCAGCAATGACATATGACCCAAGAAATATAAATATCTTCCCAGATTGTAATCAAAATTGCTGTGCCCATTACGGTATGAGCACAAGAAAAATTGTTCACAATTTGTACTTCAATAAAACAACAATAAAAATATGTACTTCGTAAAAGAAAAAAAAAAAAAATGGAAGTTTGTATAGACTATTAAGCAACAACCATTTCCAGTATAATTCCTGCTTTTAACAGGTCTAATAAGATCAAGTGTACAAAGCCTCATCTTTAATCTTGACTAGTACTCATTGAATATAATGATAACCGATTTCAGTGGCCAATTCAAGAAACATAGACTCATAATAAATTCTTATTACATAACTATAACGGAAATAGGCAATAAACATTTTGAACAAACAGAAACATAACTTTTCAAAATTAATTGACATGTAATTCTGTAATAATCTCTCCAGCAACAGAATTGTGGAAATAAAATATAATTCAATCAAGAACAAAAACATACAAGAAAGTGTCAAGCAACAAGGTAAAAAAATAGAAGTAAGATGTACAAACCTTGACAATACCGTCGTAATCTGTTGAAGCCAAATAATTTCTGATATAATTGTTCCAGCAGACACAACTGAGCTTTGATTTGTTTGACATCTCAATAACAGGATAATGAATGTCAACAGAATTGTCATAAATTGCCTGATAATCAAAAATCTTTATTTTCTTTGATACTCCAGCTGCGGCAAAGTAGTCCTCATCTCGGTCAAAACTCAGAGAGCAGACAACATTAGTAGAGTTAGTAATTATATCCCTATTTCTTAAAGTCCCACAAAGTTTGAGCTTGCTGTAACGAGCATACTTGCATAGACCATCAAAGAAAGCTCCTTGGTCATCCAAGGGTTCCTGTATGTCTTCATCGTGTTGATCTGAATACCATTTCTCTCTACTTTTGAGAATTTCCCTGTCTGCACGAACCACGGTATCACTAACAGATTCATGAATTTGGGATTGTGCTGAAAAGTAAGCACTTTCCAGCTGAGAAACATTCTTCATGAACCTTGAATCTCCTCCATCAAAAACAGGGGTAGAATGCCCGTCTCCATGGTATAGGAAACCTCTTTCTCTTGCATAGAGAAATCCCTCTCCTGAGCAAGTTGCAGTCGTGGATTTCTTCAACAGGTGCCTCTTTTCTAGTTCTTTGATATCTGAATCTATGCACCCAAGATCTTCAACCAATTTCGAGGCACGCTTTTGCTTCTGATCTTTCACAGACAAAAGAAAGTGCAATAACAGCTCAGATTCACCTTCATCTTGATGAATAGATGACAATTTTTCATCCCCACACAATGCTTGTACTTCACTCACGACTTCTGATTGTAAAATATCTCTATTCAACCACAGTAATTACTGAATTAGCATACCAAGATAGAGAAATATCTAATAGCTCAAATGCTATCAAATTCAATGTATAAATCACACATAAATCTATCTGATTTGCATACAGATTGGTGTCACATGTCAATATTCATATTCCACAAAAATACTGATAACCAAGCTGTCTTGTGGGCTACTCCAGTTTGGCTTGAATGGGCTTGTTACATAATTGTATTTTTCATAAAAACATAACTATGAAGTTAGCCAAATTCATGGATCATGACCAAATAATAACTATGTATTCTAAATTTCTCTTAATTTTTTTAACTTTAGATACCATATTCGAAATTGTCAATGTAATTAAGATGTAAAACACAAAATAATCTTGAGTCGAGCATGCAGAAGCACTTTTTGAAAGCTTGAACCAAGCCTGAAATTTTAAGCTCAATAAGCTTTGATGAAGGTAAATTCAAGGAACTACCATGTGGCAAACATCCCCTTAGAGCCCTTACTATGTCCCTCTTCAGATTTCCTTCACCAACAAAGAAAACCAATTTTGATCATTGGCGGTTTGTAATGAACTGAGCTTACTGCTAACTTAACTCATGCCAATAACATAAAGCAGAGAGAAAAAGATTGATTCTTGAGTGAATTATATGATTTGATTTTCTGTAAATGGCTAGAAATAATAAAGATAGAAGCTTTAATATTGATTTCTAATGGTGGAAGGGTTACAAAATGACAGGGACAATAGCTTGAGGCTATCACTCTCTATCAATGGCTTGAGGCCATAACTCTCTAGGTTTTCCAATACAAAATTCTGCCTACTCTCTCCTTTCCCCCCTTTCTCTATTTATAATAAAACTAAAGACTTAACCTAAAGATACTAGACTACCCATAGTGCCCCCCCCCCCACCCCCTGAATTAGTTTATTACACGGTTCCAATGAGGCTGGCACTCAACTAGTCTCCATCCACATATTGTAGACTCTCGATGGCCCACTGCCTACTCTCTCTACACTCCCCCTTCTCACCCTTCTTCTCCACCTTTCCATTTGGATATCAATCCCTTCAATTCAAGAGGCATTATCATTTTCGAGGGCAGCATTGATAAAAGAAACTAATTTTTCCTGATTCACTAGTGATATTCTCAAATACATTGTACTGTAAAATACCGATTGAAACTCATTTTGAACATCAAAACGATTTTTTACTGACAACAACTAATATTCATTGTTTAAAACTTGCTTATACGGATTAGAACTGATATTTACTGAAACTAGAGTAACTTTTATACAAGCTGAAATGTATAGGGCCTTCAAGAATAGCAAAGTTCCCAATACAAAAAAATTCCTTTAACGTTGGGTGGAATATACAATACCTGGCTGTAGGCCGAAGTGAAGGTTCAGGATGAAGCAGCCACAAACAAAACCCAGCTTCCTTTGGGTTTGCCGATAAAAAGTTGGGAGGAAGAATTCTATGACGCAGATCAGACATCGCCGTAGCTTGCACTTTCCCAGAGTCAAAACTGCTAAGTAACTGGAACAAGGCAGAAACCAATCTCATTAGCCTATGTGCTTAATCCTGTTAAGAGTTAACACAGCTAAAGCCATTAAAGAAGAATGTAGACAACAAATTAGAAATGATAAGTTGTTATGAGCCAAAAACACTGCTAATTATGAAGTAAAGGAGGAATACATGGCCTGGCAAGGTAGCCATATACACGGCAATTCAAAACCCACATCACTGCAGCACAAAACATAGAATTTTGAGTGCAATCATGACAATTTGATATTTTAAAAGCCCTGTCATGCACCAAAAAGAGAGATACAAAAGGAAACAGAGGCATGTCAGCTTCCATTATATGCAATGTAAAATGTTGAATTATCTACACAATTTGTTGTCTTAGTAAGGCATGGAGTGTGTTACTGTATTCTAAAAAGGGTAAAAGCCTAATTTTACTAGTTGAGTGAGCATGTCCAAGAGAATGCACCCCTGACACAGTTTAATAGCCATATAGACCTAAAGTAGAATGTCGCAAGGTTGCGCTTGATGGGAAAACAACTAGCGATAGTCCTTAGAAGGCTTTTCAAATTTTTAAATAAGACCGCTTAACCATCATAAGACCACCTTGCAGGTGGGTATGGCCAAAAGGAGAGAGAAACAGGGATTGGGTCATATGCTTGTAGTGACTCACAAAAGTGGTCTTATACAAATGTTTCTCAAGATGAAAGCTTATAAGACGGACATATACAAATGTTTCTCAAGACGAAAGATGCCAAAAGATAATAGAAACTAGTTCACACACCTCAAAAAAGAAGACCCCAAGACTGTAGATGTTTGATGAGGTTGTGCAGTCCCTGCCACATAGCTCCTCAGGACTTCTATACCAATTCTCTTCTTGTTGTTCATTTACAGAAAGTGCCGGCTGTGCTGAAGGTAGCAGATGTAGCCTGCTTGAGGTCTTAGATACTCCTGGACCAGCAAGATTGGCATCAATTTTATTTGTTATTGGTTTAGGGCCATATCCTAATTGAAACTGTGACTTCATCTTGAAAAAGTTTGCATTATCAATAGATTTCTGGTGCTTCACACCCGAGTAAGACTGGGCTGACATACCCAGCTCTAATGGTCTTTTCAGAGTCTGTGACTTCAGAACATCCTTACCAATTATATTCCCCTGCATTTCCTTCTGTGCACGTATGCACCCAAAATACTCAATCTTTCTGGGTGGCAACAGCCTGAAAGAAGATGGGCGCAAATCTGCCAAGACCTTGCCATCCGAGTGAAGAGAATACACCAGCTCTAAAATCTGCTTAAATGCATATAAACTATCAACTTTATGCGGTTTATTTGGCCTTGATCTCATCCACTCCATAAAATTCATGCCATCATTCACAGATTCACGACCAGCAGAAGTAGCAACTCCGCAATTAGATGGAAAAGGAGATTTTGGTCCCATATTAACTGGTGGATTGGAAGTTAGTCCCATATTTACCGGCAGATTAGAGGCTGCAATGGGTGCAGCAGCAGCAGCAGCAGTCGCCTTCGCAATTTTTTGGCCCCTGAATTCAACTGCAGCAGAAACTGGTCCTCTACATACGACCCCTTTACCCTTTAATGTATTCCTAACAAAATATTCTGGACATTCAGAAGATCTGGATAAAATCTTCATTCTCATAGCCCCAGATGAAAAAGCATGCCGCAAAACTGCATCACTTTCATTTTGAGTAGTCTCATCAGGGCATAGATTGGCATTATGACTAATTTCTTGCCCAGCCAACACATTGGCAGGTCTTGAGTCTTTCCAAGCACCTGATGTTGAGAGGGATTTCTCCTTGTGGATTAAATGTTCATGTGGAGTTTCAGCTTCTGATCTGGTCCCCGGCTGATATCCATGCTGCCACTCATTTAGAATTGTATCCATAATCTCACCCTCATTCATTGTACCGAAGCCAGAGCTGTGATCTCCCAGGAATAGCTCCTGAACTCTGACCTCCCCACTTTCATGGTAACTTGTACATGGTTCTCGAGGAATTTCCACTACATTTACGTCACTATTGTCATTGTTTCCACCTAACATATCCACAAATTGCTGGACTGAGCTCCTTCGGATATCCCCTTCCCTAAAAGTAACCCTCCTCCGTGGTTCCAATACATTGCAGCTCTCCACCAAATTTTCACTTTCTTTACCTTGGGTACGAATATCCTCTGCTCGACTAACAGGAGCCACATCCTCGGTATCTCCTTCATCCATAGTGGCTGAATACATGCTATTCAATCCTCAATGCACCAAAAGCATCTACAATTTACAAATAATAACAACATAAGAGGCATTGAGTTGAAACAGCCACCATATTTAAACAAATTCGAAAAGGAAAAAAATATATATTGTAGCAAACCAAATTCAATCAACAGAAACTAAGACTTCCTTCAAAAACCCATTTAAACATATGCATCAGATCAAGACAAACATTATAAAAGCTAAAACTAAGAACTGGAGCCACCGTAAGAGCCGTAATCACGAATTTGCCGAAAATATCCATAAACAAGTATGGTTAAAAATAACATAACTAATTTAGCTGCATTCCTGCTAATTATCTACATTCTTGAATCAATTTTACACACAAAACACATAACATCCATTATCCACCGACAATCAATTCATTGAAATCAAACTCAACCTATTTGAACAACTGGGGAAAGAGCAAAACTAAGTGCATGCACTACTTACACACCCAAAAACAAATTAAACCCACATATAAAATTAATTAAAAAAAGAAGAAAAAGTTAAATTGAACAAAATTAGAAAAAATCAAGACACCGAGAATTCAGAATCAACATTAAAGACTCACCAGAATCAAAAATCAATACCAGAAACGAATTCTGTGAAATGGGAATTACAATTTAAGGTGGAAAAAAAAAACCCTAAAAATTAATTTAAAGAGAATTTTCACCACACATTAATCTTTCCTAATATGGAAAGCTACAGATATATCTTGCATTCAAATTTTCGCCCAGAAAACAAAGGCAATTTCCAGTACAATAATAAATAATTTCAAAAAAAAAAAAAATATGTGGTTACCTCAAGTTCTGAAATTTCTGGGTCCTGACAAAATCATCATCATAATAATAAATATTTTATTTAAATTAATTTCTCAGGTATGGGTAGGAAGAAAGAGATTTGTGGTTGTAAAACATGCCAGAAATAGAATAATGAAGAAATGTAGCTTTTGTTTTAGTTTGAGTGATCTTCGATTCCTTAACTCCTTTTTTTTCTTCACGATGTAGAATTGTGGACGTTGATTATTATGAGATCTTTAATTATATGCTTTTCCCTCACTTTTATTTACGCCTTTCTTTTCTTAATTCAATGGGTATGCCACGGGTTTGACGCGTGAACATGGATAAGATACGCGTAAATGTTTTACTCTTGATCTCTCTTACTCTTTAGTCTTTTGCCATGAATTATATTGTAAATTAATGATAAATCTTCAAAAAAAAAAAAATATTGATAAATTAATTATCACTAATTTACAATATAGATAATATGAAATATAATTATGTAGGATGTTGTTTAGGGTGACATGAGAATGATGAGCAGATAAGATATGGGTAATTTTGCTGAGTATGAATATGTAAGGGTGTTTTGGAAATTTTATTTACGAAAATTTTATGAAGACAAATGTTGAACTAAAAGCGCACATAGTACTTTTAAAACCAAATGTTATACATAAAAAAAGTCAAAAAGGTATAAACTAAAAAAAAAAAAAAAAACTAACTATATAATTATTTATAAGTTTTTCATATACATAAACAATTATGTATACATCAATTATACTTAAGCAATTTTGAGTCTTGTTAAATTTATCTCAATATGTATTTGCATAAATATTTCTAAAATATTAATTTTCAACGACAATGATTATAAAAAGTCAAATAAAATAGTCTTAAACCATAGAGAGTTGTGAAAGATGTAATAATGTGACTGATATTGGAGTTGAAATTTCAAACGTCTAACATATTATGAAAATCTTCCTAAAAGATAGGTATGGAAAAGGCAAAAAATGGGTGTGGTTCGTGGTGGGGGAAGAGGAGGAGGGTTCAGGGTGGGAAAAAAGAGAGTGGGGGTGGGGGAAATCAAAGTGGGGGCTAGGGTGTCGAGGTAGGGTCGACCGGCGGGGGAAGCTCGGTGCCGGCGTGGAAGGTAGTTTGGGCGTCGTCAGTGGAGGGGAGGGGGAGAGGGGTGGGTTTTTTTTTTAATTAATTATTACAAGTTATGAGACACACGCACTTGGGTGTGCATTATAAGAAATTTATATGGCTCGAATTTCCCCTTTTTCATGAAATATTATCTACCTTATTCTAATTAAAAAATCTTTTAAAAAAAAATCTAATTAAAAAAATATTAGTGTGTTTAAAAATTGATGAAATCATGGAGCCAATCGAAGATATGACTTCCCTAAGAAAAAAGGATAGTACTACAGTTTTGTTTTTTACCAAAAAAAAATAAGAAGTAGGTGGCTTTTAGTTTTTTTAATAAAGGATGGTAGTTTTTTTTTTTTTCATTGCTGGTAGTTATTTTTTAAAAAAATGAAAAATGAAGGTAGTTTTTTTTATATTAAAGAAAATAAAAAATAAGAGGGGTAGTTTTAGAAAGAAAAATTTATCACCCAAAACCCCTTTCACTTTATATATTACTATAGATATTGTTAAAAATAATCTAACTATAGTTAAATATTTCATAAATGAAATTATCATCAATAATATAAATAATTTAATATAATAATTCATGATTACTAAAGATAATAAGTTTTTTGCAATTCACCTTTACTACAGAGACATTTAAGAAGTTGGGTGTTACTACCAATAGAATTTCCATTAATAAAAGTCCTCTTATTAAAAAAAAATCATTTAAGATACAGTTTTTTCACTATATACCCCTGAGTTTTTTGTTTATTCACCATATACACTTTAACTTTTTTAAATTCATCGTATACCCCCGAGTTTTAACAAAAATACACCATATACCCTTGATGACTAATGATTGTTAACTTCTTTAGTCATAACAGTTAAAAAAGATCTAAAACCACCCAAAATACATTCCATTACCCCCGAAACCAACCACATTCCTTTTTCTCACCCCCAACACCACCCTAAATTTCCTTTTTTCATTGTCAAAATCAATTATATGAATATGGTTATGGAGATTTGGAGTGATTTTGGGGGTTGGAGAAAGGAGAGGAGTGGTTTCGGGGATGGGGGAGAGATCTAAGGTGGTTTCGATGCATAATTAACCAAATTCCACTCATCTTGTTGTCATTAGAGGTATATGGTGAATTTTTGTAACAACTCAAGAGTATGTGGTGCATTTGAAAATTTTTAGAAGTATATGGTGAATAAACAAAAAACTCAGAGGTATATGGTAAAAAAACTATTTAAGATATTCTCCCTACCCACTTACCCAGTATTCGTTAACCCACGTCCACAAATTTGAAACTAAAATAGTACATCACCATCAAAAACTTTTTTTAATTAACCTAAGCTAGTGAAAATGACACAAGTACATAATTATTTATTAAATTAAAGGACAAATTAAAGATGAACAAAAGGAATCAATATCAATAAATAAAAAAAAAAATAAAAAATAAAAAATAAAAAAAAAAGATGAGAAATGAAAGATAGCAATTGCATGAGAAGTATCGTGGCAAATAAGAACACAAATAGCGTATACAATGATCCCACCAACACTCGTTGGCCTTGGCTCTTGCTTCGGCTCAAGGTTTTACTTGGTTGGTTGGTTGGTTAGTGATATAACTAAAGTCAAAAGTACATGGTCATCTTCGGTCCACGTCATAGGTTTCCAAACAAATATTTTCGCACGTGATCATCACATGGCCATGCATGGCTTCCCTCCATTTTTTTTTGCTCATCACAATCTTTTTTTTCTCTTTTTAGGTTTTGAGGTATTGCTCATCACAATCTTTTGGTGAACAACTCCATGTCATTTAAAGATTGTCCAATTGCATTTTTATGTTTATCTTGTTGAATTTATTTTGAGATAAATTTTTAATTCAATTTTGTTTAGAAAAATACTCTTAAATTTCTACATACGAAAATTAAAATATTTATCGTTAAAGATGTGTTTTAAAAATAGTAAAAAATCACATTTATCAATCTTTAAGGAATAAAGGATTAGAATCGATTCTATGGGGTGTTCAATTATGCAAATACTGTCTCTTACTGTTTTGGAAAAATCATTCATCTTCCTCTTCTTGCTTGCACAATCAATGAGAGACTATAATATCTTTCAGAGAACTGTCATTTTCAATTACACCATAGTCGCGCCATATTTTTGCTTCCAATGTACTGTTTCTAATACGAGTAGGTCACAAGTTCACAACAATCATATACACCAAGCTAAGTAATCTGACTCACACTTTTCCTAGAATTTATAAGCAAACATGCCCCTGTTAAAGTGTAGTCGGAAATAAACAAGGAGTTCACGACCACAATATAAGCTACACTAGCAAATGACATTCAAGTGGAACTATATCATAGGGTTGATGATTAGTTAAACCCGAACGGTTTCCTGATTCCTACAGAATAACTAACAATCACTTCACTACACAGAAGTCAGAAGTACACCTAACCGTCAGCTCGTTACATTCAATTACATAATCAACTAGTTGAACACTCCAGGAACGCCTCGGAAGAGTACTTACACAATTGTCTTCTGGCTGGAGATAATGGCAGGTGCAAAGCAAGGGTCTTTGCCATTCTTGTATATATCAAACAGCTGCTTCGAGTGAGCCAATGCTATTTTTTTGCAATCATCTGCTCCTTTTGGATCAAACTTCTCCAGATCAGTAAGTGTTTTTATCAACCCACCTTGTGCATCAGTAAGAAACTTGGCCAAATTTGTTGCCCTAGGCAAATAATTGCAAAAAAAAAGTGAATATCCCTCACAATAGTTGCAAAACAAAGACTTTATTGTAAAAACAAAGGCAACAGAATGCAGTATCATGGATGGCATGTAATAGCATAAATGATTTGACAGCCCAATTGTAGAAAACAAAGGCATTTTACTTGCCAATTAAACAAAAAAAGGCAACTAATCAATTCAAGGCAGCTAATATATGCATTTTCTCTGACTGAAAAGCAGAAAGCAAAACCGTCCCATGTAGCAGATATATTTCAAGTTCTGTGAGTCCTAGACAGTATATTCTCCTCTTGTGAGTTCAGATATATTTCATACCAAAATTTAATCAGAATGAACCTAAGACCATTTATTCATGCAAAGATAACTCATTAGGACATACAAGTAGTGCAAGTTCGTAAAAGAAGAAAAGCATGATAATAAACACCTCATGACAAACAATAGCTTGAAATGAATTGTTGCACCTAAAGAATGGAGGAAACTCTTTTGGTTATAAAAGTAATTAATAAATCATAACAGCAGAGTCTCACCAGATCTAAATTTTGTTTTTTTTTATAACGTACAATTAAAATCATCAAAGTAGTGTGTTTTATTTATAAATTATAATATAAAAGTTTTCCTTTATTTATATTTATATTTTTATTTTATTTTATTTTATTTAAAAAAAACAAGGTCTTCTCTGTGTGTCACCAACAAAATTTTTTGAGCTTGATTTCTGTTTCTTCACTAATGGTCTTTGCTAGCGTTTATAGAGAAGAACAGAGATAGCTAGTGTTAGGTGTGGGTTCTAACTTCTCTTACACTTTAGACTACTCGTATTAGCTATAGAGTCAATATCATATCATTTATACTTTTATCATAGACACATGAAGGTAAAGCTTAAGTAACTATGTCTGCATTTAAAAACCGTTTCCTAAAGCTAAAATCTACAGAACCACAGAGCAGAATGAAATATATACAAGAAACATTTAATTAAATACCTGAGAGCATAAAGCATTTTCTGTCTGTATAAAGCACAAAGTCCCTCCATGCAAAGTACAGTATTCTTCTGCAGATCATCAAGTAAATCTGCTTCATGATCCCAAATTTTATTTGAACTTCCAGATTCACCATGTACATCCGTGACCAAACCCTGGTACTTTTCATCTAATGACACCCCAACCTGCTGCTCACACGGTTTCAGGGCTGCCATGGTTTTCTTTGAAGGACTTATTGACTCCATATGAGTTCTAATGCCTAAGGGATCTTCAGATGTTGAGAGCTTCCTTTTAAGTCCCTTTGGTGAAGGTAGTTCGCCATCATCATCAGAACTACATAAGTCAACAACATGCGTAGATGTTGATGGAGATTGGTGTGCACATGGCCTAGAAGAAGCCGATTTCTCATCAGAAACTGACCAGATTTCCACAGGTCCTCCAGGCTTTGTGTTAGACTCAAAACTATTAGGCTGTCCCTCAACACGAGTTGCACTGATTTCTTTAGGGCCTAAAACAAAGGGAAAACATCATTTCAATGCCAAAAAATACACATAAATAAACAAGACAGATGAAAATTTGAAATTTGGGAGTACTTGGCATAGATGAGGCAGTCTTCTCTTCAATGGGTGTTGTTTCATGACCAGATAGCCCTCCAGCAAGCCCTTCACATTTTGCTTCAAGACCGAAACTCTCCTGCGCTTGCACGACTTCAGTTGTGTCAACCAGTTGTGAACCTTTAAAAAGGAAACGAGTAAAATGAAAATCAAAGAAAGAAAGCATCTTTTCAATGAAAAAAAGGACAAGCAAACATGATAGGTGCACAAAAATCACTTCATCGCTAGCTGGTTAGGCATTAGACAAGCCTGCACAATATTAATTAATATACCCACTCTAGAATATGCAAAAAAGGCATGCCAAAAGTTAAGCTCTACAGGGAAACTGGATTAAGTGGTCATATTGTGTGTTATGACTTAATAAATCTGCTCTGAATCAGTACTTGTAACACAGAGTGAGGAGATTCAGAGACCAGAAAATAGGTTGTAGTCACAGTAACAAGTAACAAATAGAACTCACAGGGCAACAAGCACACCGCACAAATACTTCCAGCTCCAACATAACCAACAATGTTTTGTTAATTACCCTTGCTTGTATACATTCCAATAAACTTTTTAAGAGTAAGAGTTCCCAAGATAGTTATACTCCATCTAAAACCTTTGCATGAAGAGAGTAATGATATGCTATGCGTAGTAACAAAAATCGTAACGTCCACAATACTAGTTACAAAAGGTGCTGACCTAAAAAGTAATCGTCCTCATGAGGAAACACTATGCTACATGAGATAGCCAAACCAATAATTATACAAAGAGAACAGAGATCAACCCTTCAATTAATTATTATGTACATTTTTGAAACATTTTTCAATAATCATGTTAGCCACAAGAAGAGGTAGAATTACAAGAATTTTCCTGTACTATAGATTAATAGGTGTTCCTAAACAAGTAATAACATGAATCGTACATGACTTGAAGAGTTGAAGTCTTGAACCTGCAGCTTAAAATTTATTCACTAAAATCTATACCACTAAACAATGTCATATTGTCATATAATACATTATCCTTTCAAGATACAATATAAAACAAATTAAATGAAAAATAAAAAAAAACACACACATTTGATCATGACATTTATGTATATATCTTATTCACGCATTAATTCGAGGCATTACCTGGGTCCAAAATCTATTGATATCACGTCTTTTAATAAAATGACGGTGAAACCCTATTTACCAAAATACGAGCAACACAATTTTAAAGTGATACCACATTCATTAGACTTGCGGTATTGATTCTAGTCCGGCTTCACACTTCTCTTCACATGAGCAACTCAGGTAATCTTACTACATGGAGTAACCAAAGGCCTTTTGTTTAAGAACGCGAGGAAACTACATGCCCCAATCTCCCCCAACAATAGTACTCCGTAGTAATTAAATTATTAAACACGAGTATAACACCACATAATTTTAACAGGAAACATGTAAATATAACATCAAATAGTACATTTAAATCAACTCAAAGTCTCATACTACCTGAACCTGAATCTGAACCTGAACCAGAACCAGCGTCGTTCAATATAACAACAGCTCGCTCCAAATCCGACACCCGCTTCTCGAATGCTCGAAATCGCTCGGTCGCAGCCGCCATTACACTACCCAAATCTCTCTCCAACTTAGTATTCTTCACAGAAAGCTTCAACTTTTCTTCTCTCTCTTTTTCAGCTTCTTTTACCTTCTTCTCCATCCCCTTCATTTCCTTCTCCAAAAACCTGATTCTCCCCTTCAATTTCTCACTTTCCAACCTACAAATCCTAAATTCCTCTTCAATTTTCATCTTCCTCTCCTCTAAACACCCATTTTCATCACTCAATTCCTTGTTTTGCTTCTTCAACATCTTCACCTCGTTCGAAAACCCCCTGATTTTCCCAACATCTTCATTCTTCAGCCTCTGAACCTCCTGCTCTTCCGCAGCAAGTCTCATTCTGATTCGAGCACACTCAGTGAGTGACTCACTGAGTTGGTGTTGCGACTCGCTGTTTGCGAGCAGTAACTCGCCATGATCCTTCTTGAACTGCTCCAATTGCTTCGTTAGTATGTTGTTTTCCATCAATGCGTTCTTGAATTTCTGCGTAAGTTTGTCTTTCTCACTCTTCAACCTCGATTCAACGAAGCTCAAAGCTCGTTTTGTTCTGTCATAGTCGTATGATGAGAGAGGTAATTTTAGAGTAGAAATTGCCTCGAAAATTGGGGAATCCATGGAAGTTTAGCTAGGAATAACAGAAAACCCCTAGGAGAGAGAAAACGAAGGAAGAATTGGGTGAATTGCAAGAGTAATTATGATGAAATTGCAGTGTGAGAGTATACTACTATACTGTACGTCTGTACTGTAATATGACTATTTTAGGGAGAAGAAGAGAATAAGGGACGAAATGCATGAGTGTACGAAACGCAGGTGTATGCTCATCAAACGCAGGTCGTGCTTTTCCATATTCCATATGATAATTAATTTGACAATTTTACCCCAGTTTATTTTTTCTTAACTTGTGGATTCCGAATTATGGATTGCTAAACACCGCCATAAAAAATGATCACCACCGCCAACATTTAGTGTGAATGGACAACCATGCCCTTACTAGTTCACCACCCCTTATCCTCCCTGGGGACCCACCACCCCTTATCCTCCCGGCGACCTACCACCCCTTCCAAACGGCGACAACCACCACATCCCCCTCAATGACGACCCACCACCTTCCCTCACGCGGCGGGAAGGTGGTTTTTTTTTTATTTCCGGCAACAGCATTACCGGAGCCCAAAACCGGTTACCGTGGCAAATAACCGAAGCCCAAAACCAGTTATCGCGGTTGTCGGAAATAAAAAAAACCACCACCTTCCCATCGGCGAGGGAAGGTGGTGGGTTGTCATTGTGGGGGATGTGGTGGATCACCGGCCAAGGTGGTGGTGGTGGATGTTATCGGTTAGTGTGGTGGTGGTCGTCGTCGACTTAAAACAAATCAAAATATGTAAATCGAGACATTTTTCTTGCACCAAAACTGAGGCGTTTAAAAAGTTTGACCTCTCTAATTTGAACCTTATTAGTTCAAATTATGGATTGCTAAACACCGCCATAAAAAATTATCACCACCGCCAACATTTGGTGTGAATGGACAACCATGCCCTTACTAGTTCACCACCCCTTATCCTCCCTGGGGACCCACCACCCCTTATCCTCCCGGCGACCTACCACCCCTTCCAAACGGCGACAACCACCACATCCCCCTCAATGACGACCCACCACCTTCCCTCACGCGGCGGGAAGGTGGTTTTTTTTTTTTATTTCCGGCAACAGCATTACCGGAGCCCAAAACCGGTTACCGTGGCAAATAACCGAAGCCCAAAACCAGTTATCGCGGTTGTCGGAAATAAAAAAAACCACCACCTTCCCATCGGCGAGGGAAGGTGGTGGGTTGTCATTGTGGGGGATGTGGTGGATCACCGGCCAAGGTGGTGGTGGTGGATGTTATCGGTAAGTGTGGTGGTGGTCGTCGTCGACTTAAAACAAATCAAAATATGTAAATCGAGACATTTTTCTTGCACCAAAACTGAGGCGTTTAAAAAGTTTGACCTCTCTAATTTGAACCTTATTAGTTCAAATTATGGATTGCTAAACACCGCCATAAAAAATTATCACCACCGCCAACATTTGGTGTGAATGGACAACCATGCCCTTACTAGTTCACCACCCCTTATCCTCCCTGGGGACCCACCACCCCTTATCCTCCCGGCGACCTACCACCCCTTCCAAACGGCGACAACCACCACATCCCCCTCAATGACGACCCACCACCTTCCCTCACGCGGCGGGAAGGTGGTTTTTTTTTTTATTTCCGGCAACAGCATTACCGGAGCCCAAAACCGGTTACCGTGGCAAATAACCGAAGCCCAAAACCAGTTATCGCGGTTGTCGGAAATAAAAAAAACCACCACCTTCCCATCGGCGAGGGAAGGTGGTGGGTTGTCATTGTGGGGGATGTGGTGGATCACCGGCCAAGGTGGTGGTGGTGGATGTTATCGGTTAGTGTGGTGGTGGTCGTCGTCGACTTAAAACAAATCAAAATATGTAAATCGAGACATTTTTCTTGCACCAAAACTGAGGCGTTTAAAAAGTTTGACCTCTCTAATTTGAACCTTATTGGCCTAAACATCCCCTTAAAACTTTAACCGGGCAATTTTTATGACACCCAATTGAAATATACTAAACAAATTTAATGAAAAGTTACGATAGAGAATAAATTTAAAATATAGTGGTACAATGTGGATTCCAAACAAAAAGAAATGGAAAACCCAAAGTAAAATGGCACAAAATGAAACTACCATTTCTTTTTTTTTAGTCTTGGATTAAAGATCTAAAATTTTTAGAGTCTAATTAAGTCCACATTTGAATATATATTGAAATCTTTGTTTGGTGAATTAAAAAAAATTTCGTTTGTACATGTACATTTCATTGTACACTTCATCGTACGAGTATCAAATTAAAAATCATTAATCAACCCAATCCATGGCTTCATATTATTTGACTTATTTCCCAACATTATAAGAATAATTTCTTCTTAGAACTGGTCAAAGGTATTTTTTGCTTATTTTACTGATTAAATGAGGATGATTATTACTAATGAACAAAAAATTATTTCGTGCACTTAGGTTTAAACAAAAAATTTCAGGAACTGGGGGAGGTTCAATTATCCTCTTTGATTCAAAAAGTATCCAATAACCTCTCTGTTGATCCGTTCCTTTAGTTTTTCCTACTTTGATTATCCTTATCTTCCAAAGGATTTAAAAAAAACAGAGATAGAGTAGCATTTTCAATAATTAGAAGTTCTTAAACATATCTGAGCATTTTTACACATCCTGTAACTAAAAAATATACCAAGTTAAAAAGACAATACAAGAGCAAGGCTAAGGATTACAAGGAAGAGACAGAGCTATCTGAAAAAATACCCAGCAACTTGCCTAGCAAATGAACAGACATGGGTACAAACTGCAAACCAACCAGCATATCAAAACTAAAACACAGGCTTTGCTCAACAATAACAAGAAGCCAGGGGTAAGATAAGAATTATGACAGACTTGTAAACACAGAATCAGCAACTTCAAAACTCTGAACCAGTCTCGAAGACAGCAAAATGAGCTGAAATCTGCAGAAAAGACAGTAGGAAAGGAACTAGAAGTCACTACTCTGAACCTGGGAGAAGATCAGGTTCTAAAACTCAAATCTTACAGAGTATTTGATACACAGAGGCTCACACTGAAGCCAGAAATAACTCTAATAACAGCTTCAAGAACATAAAAATCAACAAGGGATTGCAACCGGGAGTCACCTCAAACCCCTCCTAAATCAGATTTTAGGTCAAATAGGCACTACTACAAAGCTAACAAACCCAAACCCAGTAAACCATCCTTGCTGGAAAGAATATTTCAAAAATAAAGCAGCAACCATGCTCAAGTAGCACGAACAACCAAATATTATTTAAATCTTCATGTTGAAGGGTAACAGAAAGGTGGAAAAATAAAAAGTCTAATAAGGGGCTGCAAGCTGATGATAGTGGAGAACAATAAACAATATAGCAGTTTATGATAAAAGGTCCGAGAGAAAGAAAAGAAAGGGAATACGAACCTGAAAATAATCACGAAACACATTCAAAGTTACGTTATGCACCATTTGTAGCAGTTGATGCAATAACATTAGCAATCATTTCTGGTGTCAAGCTAGGGTCCTTTCGGCGTAGACGTGCAAGAGCTAAAGCAACCACATCAAGAGTCATGGTTTCCTCATGAGTGTCAAAATTCTTTTGCATATCTTGTACTTTAGAGGCCTGGCATTCAAGCTTCTCAGATCTGCTCTGCGTCTCAGCTACTTGTGCAACATGAGGTTGCTTTTCTTTCACTAATTCATCTTCTTCAGAACTCATATTATTCTGCACATCAGCTGTTATGGCACTTTTGATGGACTCCATGACCTCCTTTGGTATAATTAAAGAAGTATCTGCTCCTTTCTCCTTGAGCTTCTTGTGGGAAACACCTCGTCCATGATCTGCTTGCAAGGCTTCCAATCGCCTCATTGATTGCTATATCAAATAAAGAGCCCTTGATTAAAAGAGTATCATCATATAATCACTAAAAAGATTATGAAAATACAAGATTAACAGAATATATACAGTCTTCTTGAGTGTATCATCATCAGATTGATCATTTGTTTCCACTTCTTTCTGGCTTCGAGTTTTCGCAAACGTCTTTCTTTTAGATGGTGCCACATCATCTTCCTGTAACTGAAATATGTCAGAAAGAAAATTTTACAAGATATAAATCTAAATATCTTAAGAGGGATGTGGAATGTCTTTCTCACCATCTGGTTATTAATCACAGCCAAAGGAACAGGGCTAGCTGTGCGCATTTTATCTTGTTCTTGGCGATTTCGAGAATTCTGCAAGCTTGTTTTCTAAAAAAAAAAAAAGACGACGTTTTTAAGAAGGAAAAGTTGAAAAAAAAATGGATATTATAATTAACCAGATCGTATTCCTCATATACCTTTGCCTCGTTAGAATCCCAATATGCTAGAAGTGTTTTAAAGTGTGATTCAGGCACTCTTTTCGGACGATGCTTCAGTCTCTCTTCATAGCTGTCATACTTATAGTAATGGTTTCTTTTGATTCGGCATTTGAAAACCCTCCAAGATGAATCAAGCTTCCCCATTACCCAACCTTTTAATTTTGCTGGAAGGATGTACTTACTCTAAAAGAAAGGATGTTTTAGTGTCAGCAAAAGACAACAGTCACGCAAAGGGAAACTTCAAACTAAATGTTTAAATCATCCCAGATGCCACATAGAGGTTTCATCTCAGGGGTTTTATTACTAATACAAATATTACGTAAAAAGAAAACTTACATTTACAAATTTCCATATCTTCTCCTTGTTTGGAACTTTTTGCCAACTAATGTAAGTTAAAGGTGCCCACTTGTGATTATGGGCAATGGTTCCTAAAAATCTGGTGAGCTCAGATCTTTTAGGTCCAATAGGTTTTCCTTCGTCGTTGCAACAAATAACAACGCGATCTTCCCATTTGCGAGCATAAACATTAGTTAACTTTGACGGCCCTCGGCCCTTTCTATTTTGACCTACCATCCATAAATAAAAAATATTATAAGATCAAGTGACAGATAAGTAATAATCAATTAAAGAGCTTTCGGATCTACAGTACATCACAATCTTCCAAATGCATACAAGATGCAGAAAATCTAAATTCTTCTGAGGATTGCAATTTGGATTAATCACTCAAGAGGAAGTGTAGTACATTGTTTCTCTTTTTTGGAAGAGCCAGAACATGTAAGGGTGAAGATTTTAAATGATGAAAAGATCATTAGTTAATCATTAATACACATGCAAACAAGATCTGGTATTGTAACTTTTGGGTAGATCATCTAAAAAGAGAGAATGAACAATTTAACAACAGCGCCTGAATGGGTATTCCAGAAAATCTGGAACCAGAACTTTTGGATGGTTGCATTCAATAACAGGAAACATAAAAGGTTAAGCAAGCAACGAGGATTGTTATGAGATTGAACAAATTATTAGGAGTAAATATTTCAATAATTTACGTACAAGGACTAAGTTACTGTCTAGGAAAAGTGCTTTCTATGAAACATGGACACCTCAAAAATAAACAAGGCTTCTTTAAGAGACAAGGGGCTCAGATAGTCATTAAGGGACAAAAGAAAACACGGACCTTCATTTTCCGAGAGAGTGGTCATCTCTTGGTTTTCCGATGGATCTATGTCAGAATATTGATGTTTAGATCTTAAGCGATCTTGTTCCGGTATATTTACTTCTACCTCTAATTGATTTGCTTCAGTTATATCCACTTTTTCTTGCATCGTCATGTAATCATCCAATGCCAAAGAAGGGCACAATTTTTGCTTCTTTTTCTTCCTAAGTTCATGCTCTCTAGCCCTTGCCTTCTAGCACAAGAACACCCAATGTAATTTAATTATAAATAAATATCATAAATTCATAAGTACTTGAAAAGGTGTAATAATTGGCTTTTAGAACCTTCTTTGGTACAGACTTCGGTGTTGAACGTACTTCTACTTCAGTAAACACCTCTGGCTCTTGATCACCGTCAAAAGACTCGTCAGCTGAGTCATGGTTATCATCAGGTACATAGTCTTGATCATGCTCACTACTGTCAGTGACTTTCTCCTTCCCTAAAGTATTCAATCTCATGGCATTTTCTTCAATGTTCATTAACCTTTCATAATCTGTCATCATTGGTTCGGTCGATGCAATTTGAGCTTTCTCAAATGCTGAAGCTTTTCCATTCTTAAACATTGTCCATTCCTTTGAGCTATTTAAGAAAAAAAAAATCAGATTATTTGCCAACTTGTTTGAGGAAATCAATAAAATTTTAAAGAAATATAAAGCCAGTAATTACACAAAAGCAGCATGTAAAATCCCTTAGGAAGTATTTCCTAACATAAATGGTATTAATTACTCATGGAAATTTACAATTGTCAGATTAAGACAACAAATATTTTATAAGTTATTACATACGCCATTTAATATGCAGCTTCAGCGAAGTTACTGAACACTGTGAAGAATTCTTCCAATCGTTCTTACTGAGCTTATATGCTAAGTGTGATTAACCAACTATGCAAACTAAGGCCCATACACAGGCCTTCAGCCATTTAGCAGTGATAAAAAGTAGGAGAGACTGAAAGATCATTCAAAGGCTTTGAGTTCCATTCAGTAGTAACAAAACAAAGCTACAACATGTCAGCATTGACAATAGCCTATGATACAGAAATCTAGGAACTGATACTTTCAGAAATTTGCCTTGACAAACAGTATAAAGCAGCCTGCTAAAAAGCTTAAGTATGAACACTGGTTGTTGTTTTCACCACCCTCCCCCACCCCCAAGGAAAAAAAAAAGATATGAAAAAAAGAAAGATTGTAGAACTTAAAGCAAAAAGTTCAATTGGAAAGGCAGCACGCTAACCAATTAAATCTTATATTATAAAATGTTTATTTTGGGTGGTTGCTTCTATCATTACTGATGGACAAGTCTTTCTGGGGTTTTGGGATTTCTAAACTAATACCCTCCCATATCCACACACAGATAGAAAGCATACATAGTAGACTGTAGAAGGCTGGATATCCTCTAGTTATCAAATTTTATCAATATCTAGCAAGTTATAGAGTTTTTAATCAACCTGTTTTTCTTGGAGCCGGCACCATCCTCCTTGTTAGAAACATCAGATGATGATGATGGCTTCCTTTTATGACCTTTGCGCAAAGATAATACTCTATCGTCATCAGAACTACTTATCTCAGCAACGGACGGAGATACTGATGGAGATTTGTGAACACATGGTGTAGAAGATGCTGAATTCTCTTCGGAAGTGGGTGTTTCAGAAACCGACCGGGTTCCAACAGGCTTAGTGGGTCTTGTGTCAGACCCAAAACTCTCTGTATGTGCCTTGATATGAGCTGCACTAGTCGTTTTCAGACCTGAGAGAAAGGGAAGCTATCATTTCAAAGCCAAGAAAATGAAACACAAATATTAATCAAGGAGACGATGCCAACAGAAATTTGAGAATACTTGGCATTGATGAAGCCATCTTCTCTTTATTGATTGTTGTTTCATGACCAGATTGGGCTCCAACAAGCCCTTCACGTTCTTCTTCAAGCCCATAATTCTCCTGTTCTTGGCCTTCTTGCATGACTTGAGTTGTGTGCCTTGTGTCAACCAACTGTGGACCTAAAACAATAATAATGTTTTATTAAAAAAATAAATAAATAAAAGAACAGAAAAGAGCAAGCGTCATTTAAATGAAAAAGGACAAAACAATGTTGATAAGCATATATATCATGTCCTCATTAACTTAAAACAGCCTTGGGTTTTTGGATCATAAATTTTCTCCTTCAATGGAGAGTGTTTGGTGTCCACAGGCAAACAACTCTAACTCAAAACACAATAGTAGCTACTAACTTCAAACCAAACACCCTTTTGCCCAAGTTTTCTTCCGGATCAGTAGCCAGTAACGGCACTAACACGGTAGCACCTTTTTAAAGATATCCCTAGAATCCAGAGGTTCTATCCTATACTCACTCTCTATCGTACTTCTCTACCCTCACCCAAAAATCCACTGAAGTAAGCTTTAGCCATGGGATCGTGAAAATTTCAAAATTATTCATAAATATATAAAGTCCTTTTCAGGAGCTAATAGTGCAGTGTCTGGTAAGTGGTAACTCACAGTACTCTCTCTAGTTGAGTTGCCAAGTCTCTACATCATTAATCTTACAAGTCAACTAGAAAACTATCTTTAGTATGTTATAGACTTATGCCAAATCCTTAGTACATCATATTTTTTTGTAAGTTACTGAAATTTCATCAATTTCCACTTCCAAGTCCTCTAGAACAATTCTGTTGACAAATAACAGCCGAGTATCCATGTGTGGAGAGTTTCTACAACAGGATTGATACTTCTAAACCCAAAGCATAATTTGAAGGATAGGAATACGGAGAATTGGTGAACAACTACCAAAACTTATCTACTTTTGGAAACAACTACCGAGTAAGTTGTATTTAAATAGTAAAAACAAATATACAATTTTTTTATAGATTACATTTGATTAGCACTACCTATTGACGGAATTTATAGCGAATTTCAATAGTGAGGCATGCTTCTCCCTCTTTCTCCCATTAAATGAGCATAGAACAAAATAACTCAATATGAAATTCCTTCCTTCCTCCTCCTCCTTTTCAATCAATCAATTTGAATTTGAAGACCTTAGTTAGTTTTGTGAGTATGTAATCACCTTCCTCTTGCTCTTTCTTCCTTCAATTTTATTCAATGAATAATCTCCAGATCAACCAATTACAAACCTCAATTTGAAATATAAGCTGAATTTGTGACCGATTATCAATTGAAATCCAGGAAACTCAATTAAATACATGAAAGCCTTGAAGCTAAACAACATGATTTAGAATAACATAACAGAAACCAAAAGATAATGACACAAGAACACCACATAATTATATAACTTCAGCAAGAACCAAGTGAAATTCTCATTTTTCCTTGGTAAAAAAAAAAAAAAAAAAACAAACAAACAAAACCTTAAAATTACCTGAACCAGAAGAAATTGCAGCAACTCGCTCCAATTCTAAGATGCGTTTCTCAAAAGATCGAAATCGCTCATTTGTAGCAGTCATTACACTACTCAATTTCCTCTCTAACTTGTCATTCTTCACTGTAATCCTCGATTTTTCTGGATTTTTCTCCTCGAACTTGGTGATTTTTTCCTTCAATTTCTGACATTGCAACCTACAATCAACCAGTTGTCCTTCAATTCTCGCCGTATACTCCCCTAAATCCCCAATTTTCTCATTCAAATCTCCTTTTTGCTTCTTCAAAACTTTAACCTCGTTCGATAAAACCCTAATTTTTCCCCCAAATTCGAGCTTTAACCTCTGAATTTCCTCATTTGCTGCAGATAGTCTCTCTGTTAGATCTTCGCACTCGATCCTTGACTCGGGAAGTTTTTGCTGATTATCGTTGTTGATGAGTAGCAATTCGCCATGATCCTTCTTCAATTGCTCCAATTCTTTGGTTAAATTTCTGTTTTCCTTCAAAGAATTGTTGAGTTTCATAGCCATTTCGGCATTCTCTCTCTTTAACCTCGACACTAGCGAGGAATCCATGGAGGTTTGGAAGGTTGAAGGAAGAATGAATTGCAGTAATAATATTGCTCAAATGAGTCAAATCCACCAAGTATTTAATTGGGTTGTTTTTACAATAAATTTTCAATCACTTTATTTTGTCCTCCGTCCTTATTTGTTTGTAGAGTGACCACAATCTCTGTTCAAATATTCTTGCTTGATAAAACTCATACTCTAAATCCCTAGGATTTGAGGTAAGAATTCTTACCAAATGATTCAAGCTTACTATCCTATTTCCGGTTTTTTTTATTTATTACCTGGTGCACCATGCATAAAATACTATCCTATGTTCAGCTTACTTAATATGGAGTACATACACTTAAAGGTGACATGTGGCATTATTCAACAAAAAAAAAGGTGACATGTGTCAATGAACACATTGATGGTTTGTGTTTTTAAATAATAGGTATAGATATATGTAATTCCTTATATATTAGGATGGTAAACAATTAAAGGTGTTAACGAGCTAAACGTGCTTACAAGCTACTCGATGCTTGACTCGGTCAAAACTTAGTCAAAGCTCGGCTTGAGTGAACTCACTTCAAGTATGGGTCGGCTCAAGATCTTAACAAGGCAAGCCTAAGCTATCCTTGACTCGTGATAACACGATAATATACACATTTTATATACCATATTTGTATGATATTTGTCTTGCTTTCTTCATACTAATCATTTGAGCATCATTTTATTATATACTTCAATATTGCTCTCCTCGGGTTCTTTTTCAATGTTTTGTAGGAATAAGTTGTTGTTCGAGTTGAGCCACGAATCGGAGATGATATTATGTGACAAAGAGAAAAAAATTTCTTCAAGGGAGCTCAAGGCAGCCTACTCCGCAACGTGGTTGAGGTGTGTAGCACTCCTCCGCGACCTACCCGCGGTTAGCTCACAAAATGAAGAAGAAGAAGCATGCTTGCAGACTACTCCGCGGCCTACCCGCGGCCCATAATGCCACACCGCAGCCTACTCGCGGCCAATTTATGGATAGCAATTTGAGCAAGTTTTGGATATATTTTTAGAGAATCCTAGTCCTACATACTTCCCTAATTGTTAGTATTATATATAATCTATCTTTAGGGCTAATAAGTGGGGAAGTTGGGCAGCCACAAGCAATATATAAGAGGCATGACTTCCTTGTATTAGGGGGATGGTTTTTCTTCTAGCTTTAGTTTTTCAGGAGGTTTGTTTACTTTTATTTTCTTAGTTTTATAAATCGTTAATTCTTTTTCTTCTTTAGTATTTTTGGTTTCTTTATAATATGTTTGAGTAGTATTTTATTTTAGGGTTCGGGTTGAACTCTAACATGATTGATACTTGATTAATTCTTTTAAATTCTCAATTAATTGTTTATATTGTTCATGCTTAATTGATTGTGTTTATGCCAATACTAGATTAGAGATGATTGGTATTGTTATTATAATATTATTCCTTTGTTTTAATCACAACGAGAGTTGGGTTTTAACGGATTTGAATAGATCAATTAAGGGTTTGAAATTCATTACGAGAGTAGTTGGATGGATGGTTAGGAATCTAGGTAATGTGCTTAATGTCTCTAATTTGCATGATTATTCCACGAGAGTAGGCTTGATTGTGATTAGGGAAGCCTTTGGTATTATCTAGGGATTACTTTTCCTTGTGAACATATAATTGATTGGGGTAAGAATTTGTCTTGTAATGATTATGCTAGTGGTGATACTTAATTCTAGATGTTTTTATTATTTGATTTTCTTTCGTTAGTAGTATAATAATTCCAACCCTATATTTGATTGACTCAACTATTTATAATTCATAGCAACCCAATATTGATACGAGGGATCGGCCCTGACTTACCCTACTACATAATTAGGAGGTTTAGTTAGGAAATATTTTGGTTAGGTGCGCGACATGCCTATCAACTTGGCTCGAAAACTCATGAACAAGCTCGAATTTTTTTAATGTTAATATCATATTTATAAATTAATTTGTAACTTTAAATTATTTATTCACAACTAGGCATTAGGGGTTATCTTCATATTTGGGGGCTTGGTTTGAGGTAATTCAGTCACCAATTAAAATAATAAGTTTAAAATTAGATCAAAGAAGCTCGAGTCAAGCTCATGTCTAGGGATTGCCCTGAGCTCAATTTCTCAAGTACAACGAGCTTCGAGCCTGAGCTCAGGAGTGTTGAGCTTGAGACACTCGTGAGCTCGGATTTGGCTCATTAACATCTCTAGTAACAATTAAACGAAGAGTATAAACTATAAAGTATGCTTTATGTTCACAGCCAAATGAGCATTAAGCAATTACTACTTCTCCGGTGCATAAGCTTCCCCAATAAATAACTTCATAGGAGTAGATGATTACAAAATCACAGTAGTGTATCCCAACTCAGTACGTTTACATCCATAAATCCATTTACATCAGTGAAGGCATGACACCGTAGAAGTAGGCCTTTGAGAGAACATAACATAAAAGTCATTTCATCCTATTGCAGCATCATGCACAACCATAACTTCTAATTAGTTTAAAGTATCTAGTTTGGAGAATTAAGTTATATATACATTTAAGTCTTCTAGATATCAAAGATGGCAAATTCCTCGCATTCGTATACACAGTAGAGAGGTCCAACCATAAATCGAAGGGTACAAAGCACTGAAGTCAAGAGTGGATTACCTGCATCATGTAGTCAACATTATGAAAAATCTTACTAGGTGAATAGAGTTATAACCTCAAGGCTCAAGTGAAACATGGAGAGGACAAAAAGAGGCAAAGTAGAGAATAATGTCAAAAAGTGGATAGACTTTACTTACACGATTCTCTTCTAAGATAATATATTGTCAGGTGCAAAGAAAGGATCTTTCCCATTTTTGTATATATCCAACAGCTGTGTAGAGTGAGCCTTCCTTTTGCAATCATCTTCTCTTTTCGGATCAAACTCCTTCAAATCAGCAAGTGTTTTTTTCAACTCGTTTTTTGCAATTCCATCAGTAAGAAACTTGGCCAAAGTTGTTGCTCTAGGCATATAACTGTGAAATGTGAATATTGACGTTCATATTAATCGAAGTTACAGAACAAATTCTGAAGCATGAAAATCAAATTTTGAAGGTTCAATGGGCACTCAAGAGGGGGGGGGGGTGAATTGAGTGTTAAGTAATCGTTGGCTAATTTTGCTTCTTTTCGGATTATGTGTGAGGAACCAGTTGTGCTGGTTCCCGTACGCAGCGGAATATAAATAAGCAATAAAGAAGACAACAAATTTAACGAAATAAAATAAAGCAATAAAGAACACAACAAATTTAACGAGGTTCAGCCAACTCAGGCCTACGTCCTCCTATCCTAAGTTCTTTATTAATCTACTCCGAAAAACAAAGACAAAGAACACTCTGCTGTTCCCTACTCCGGGAACCAGCAAACCCCACACTCTACTCCGAGTGTGCTCTCGACTTACACTCGTAAGCCCAATGTGTTTGAACTCACAAACACTCACCCAGCCTTTAACCCCTTTGTTAAAGACTCAATACAAGAATCAAGAACTCCCCTTTGATCTCACTTCTACGAAGCTAATTAAGAGAAAAAGTTTAAGTACTAGAATGCTCTTGTATATGACTTGATGAATGGGATTAGTGCTTAAGTATATGCTCTCAAATAATTGCTCCTTTTATTTCTGGAGAGGCACACGAAATATGTGAAATAAGATGAGTTTATATAAGCTTAGATTCCTAAAACCTAGTTTCCTTAAATCACACAATCTTAGAGAATAAGATATAATGTAATTTTAGGAAAGTTTTTATCTTATTTGATTTAATCACAAAGATAGAATCAATTAAGATAAATACTCCTAGTTTTTAGGTAACCAAGAATATTTCATCTTATTTCCAGCTGCACAAAATATTTTCAAAATAATCTTTTCGAAAAAATCTTTTTGTAAAATCTTTTTCCAAAACGGCAGCTCGAATACAGTGAACCTGGTTCCCCGACCTGGTTCCCTGAATTGAAACATGTTATGAAACCTGTTCCAACTTTGTACCAGATTTCATATCATACTTCAATATACTTTTAAGCACTTATATAACCCAAACATGCAAGCATACTACGGAGCATATTACATGAAAACCTAGATAACATATTAAAGCATAAATCGTCTTTTCTTCATGTAATCTTCAAGACTTGAATCTTCCTTGAATACTTCTATTATGAGCAAACAATCTTTCTTCGAAATATCTTCGAAAGGCTTCTATGCTCCAAGTCTTGGAATCAACTCAACTACTGCACATGTAACATGGTTAATGCACAATAAAGAGTATGTGACTGCTTTACCACGTAGCAACCATGGAAACAGTACATACTGGTTCCCTACCAGTACATAACACTTTTATCATATAACTGTTCCCTGTATAAAGACAAGTTAGTTCAATAAGAAAACTCATGTAAGTAATAACATGTCTGGGGAAACAGTGTTCTATGTTAGCTGGTTCCCACCAACTGTTTTCAACACTTATTAAAACCTGTTTCCCATAGCTGTTTGTCATCATTCAAAACCATCATTCAAAACCTAAGGGACTCAACAAATTCCCCCTTTTTGATGATGACAAACTCTTGAAGTTCTTGAACCTGTGGACATGCTCAAAAAGAAAAACCGTCAAAAACTTCAAGGACTCAAAACTCTTTGGAACAAGTCAGTTAGGCCAACTGGTTCCCTAAACAGAAAATAGAAAATACGAAATAAAAAGACTCAAACTGACTCAATCTAAACTAGCTAAACCTTAGGCTTCAACTTCAGACTACTTCCCCCTTTTGGCATCATTAAAAAGTATCCACAAGTAAAAGCAATGTGCACAAGTTAATGTGCTTATCCATACAATGGCATCAACCACCATTCAAGCATTATGCTGCAAAAAGAGATTAGTCAAACAGTTCATACCATAGCAGAGTTAGTAGTTCATACAAGCCAACAAAGTTCAACCAAAGAAGCCCAAATCCATCCAAAAAGAAAGTTCATGGAATGGAGAGAAGTAGACAGACCAACAAAATCAGTTATTTAAGAATAAACATGAGGGTGAGGAAACAAGAACAGAAACAGCATCACTCCTCATCATCATTCTCGTTCCCTTCCTCCTCCTCAAACTTTGCAACATCTTCTGTATTATCATCTGATTCCTCTTCATCTTTGTCACCATGCTCTGCCAAAATCATTATATTACTAAGCATATTCTTGTGATTCCCCAATCTGTTTCAAA